TAAACATAATAATGAAATAATCAAATTTGTGCTAGTCCACACAACGCCATTGATTTGATGTCTTGATACTGTGTACTGTAAAAAAAGAAAACAGTTATTTAGGGGGAGGGAGATAAGGATTCCTGGGATGTATGTATGTGAAAAACGTATTTGAGAGGCAGAGTTAGAAGAAAATCTTCCATCCATAGTTTCACTCCCCAAGTGGCCACAGCAGCTGGAGCTTGACCAGTCGGGAGCTGCTTCCAGATCTCTTCCAGGTGCCCCTGTGGATGCAGGTGTGAGTCCCGGCTGCTCCACTTCCTACCCAGCTCTCTGTAATGTGTCTGGGAGAGCAGCAGAAGATGGCCCAAGTGCTTGGCCCCTGCACCCACGTGGGAGACCCTGAAGAAGCTCCTGGCTCGTGGCTTTAGCCTGACTCAGCTTTGGCTGTTGTGGCCATCTGGGAGTGAACTGGCAGTTGGAAGATCTCTCTGTCTCTCTCTAACTCTGCCTTTTAAATACATAAAATAAATCTTTGAAACAACAAAATAATCCTCTTACCTGTCTGAATAACTACTTTGGGGATACAGAAAAAAAAAAACAATTAATGAATACTAGACGCCAAGCCTTGTTTTAAACAGTTTGCCAATCAGTTCAGTCAAAAATAAACATGGCCTATAAGAGCTAACTGCTTCCAATTATATGAGGCTGTTTTTTTTTTTTTTTAAACATTGTCCCCTTTGTGACGAGTTTAACATACGAATAAAAACCGTCTTTACTCTGAAGACAAAATTGTTGAAAATTCCTCCTATGGGAAGACTACTTCATCTGAGAATTTAGACTTCCTACTCATCTGCTCCCTCAAGAGGAGCCAATGTTATTTCGTGTTTGGTGGCCACGCCCCCGTGCCGTGTGGCTACGAGCAGGAAGATGGTGTGTCTATGGTGGCTGCAGCTGTGCACCCACAAAACTCCCCAGAGACAGCCCAGCGTGAAAGGGGACTTCATGCGCCGGCTGACCCCCTGTCACAGGGTGACATTCACTTGCTGTGCGCTTCCTGATAATATCGTCAGCTTCCGTTTCCTTCTTTTATGAAAAGATGTTTTTGTTTTAGGTTAGTTGACTTAATTGTTGTTTAATTGACAGCATGAAACAGGTGGCTAAGCCTATGTTCGTTTTTGTCATAGAACTTTGTTTATTCTAATGTGAAAGAAATAGAAACAACTTGGCCTTTGGAATCAGAAAGAACAAACTGACGCTGCTTTGTGGCCATGGGCACGTTATTTCTCTCAGCGCTTCGGTTTCCTTATTAATAAACGAGCGTTGCACCTGTCCCCTGAGTTCTGTTTTCCTGAATTTAGTGTCTGTCACTGCAGCGGAGCCTAGGTTGTTGGAGTCAGTCACCTGTGCCCCTTTCAGAACCTGGGGGAGACGGCAGAGGTGGAGCCCACTGCTCCTCAGACACCGTCGCAGACGCTTTACCCTCACACGCTTTTGTTGTACTTTCATTATTACATTTTTCTTGGACAAATTATTACATATTAGTAAAGTTTGTATGTTTGTTGATTTTGTCTTCACAAGTAAACCTTGATTGGAATGAGGAAACCTTAGATACAGGATTCTAAGAAGGATGTGTTGCTAAGTGGTAACAGAGTGAAGTAGAGGCTTTGTAACTTTGCAGCGTAGGCAAGGAGGGAGAGGTCCTTGAATCCAGTAGAGCCGCGTAGTCGGCCCTGGAGAGGGAGCTGTGGGTTCATAAAGCAGCGGCAGCGGTCCGGGAGGGTTTGGAGGGAGGAAGGGAGAAAGTGTGGCATCGGCATGGTGGAATAGGTGGTGTGCGTATCAAGTGGCATGACCTTGGGATTTAGGAGCAGATAGCCAACAGCCTTGCAAAGAATTCTTTTAACACCGGAAGTTACCCCCAAAGTGAATGCTGAAGCAAGGCTGTTTGAGTGATGGCGTTGGATGTGATCGACGGTTTAGGCCTGCGTGTAGCTGTTTATTGGGTAGTGTTTGTTTATACTGATAGTTCTCATGAATCTTTTGGCTTCTTTCATAGCACTCGGTTATGATTCTTTTGTTTGGAAGCTTTTTGAAGGCTGGGGAGCATGAAAGAATTCGCTTTACATTTTTATGAAATTAAAATCCACAATTAATTATAAGTACCTAATAGATTATCTAAAAAATTTACTGTAGAAATTTAGAACCTTAATATTCTCTAGCTTTCATGTCAAAGTTTTTTGTTTCTGTTTTTGTTTTTTTTTTTTAATGGAAATCTCGGGCCAGTGCCATGGCTCACTTGGTTAATCCTCCGTCTGTGGTGCCGGCATCCCATATGGGCTCTGGTTCTAGTCCCGGTTGCCCTTCTTCCAGTCCAGCTCTCTGCTGTGGCCCGGGAGTGCAGTGGAGGATGGCCCAAGTGCTTGGGCCCTGCACCCCGTGGGAGACCAGGAGGAGGCACCTGGCTGCTGGCTTCAGATCGGCGCAGTGCTAGCTATAGCAACCATTTGGGGGGTGAACCAATGGAAGGAAGACCTTTCTCTCTGACTCTCTCTTTCACTGTCTATAACTCTGTCAAGAAAGAAAGAAAGAAAGAGAGAGGGGGGGGGGAGGGAGGGAGGGAGGGAAGGAAGGAAGGAAGGAAGGAAGGAAGGAAGGAAATCTCTTGGGGCCAGTGTTTGGGACCCTGGACCCATGTGGGAGACCTGGAAGAAGCTCCTGGCTTTAGCTTGGCCCAGCCCTGGCCACAGTGGCCATCTGGGGAGTGAACCAACAAAGGGAAGATCTCTCTCTCTCTCTTGCTCTTTTTAACTCTTGCTTTCAAGTAAATAAATAAAATCTTCTAAAAAAGATAAAAATGTACGTCTCTTAAGCTTATATATTTACCTTTTTATTTTTTAGGTGATATGTAGTAACTGTGCAGCCCATGGGGCACAGTGAGATATTTTGATGCATGTATGTATTGTGTAATGGTATTTAGCAGGTGCATTACCTTACACATTGTCAAGTTTCTTCTCTTAGAGCTGTTCTCAAATATTCAGTGCCATGTTGTTAGCCAAGCGTGTGGTCACCCTGGTGAGCAGTAGAGCGGCAGAGCTTGCTCTAGCTGTCTGTGACTTGTCACCCAGTGACTGGTCCCCTGCCCCCACCTCCTCCTCAGGAAGCACCCGTCTGCCCTCCTCTCTGTGAGATAGCTTCTTTCCATTCCACCTGAGTGAGGTCATGAAGGAGAGGAAGTGACTGGCTTCACCGAAGAGTGGTTGAGTGCCTGCTGTGTGCTTGGCACTGTGCTGCTAGGCGGGTTGTGGTGGTGGTGAGCATTCTGGAAGTCTGATGTGTGCCAGGAAGAACGTGCATGTGCCTTGAGAGAGTGATGTGGGTGTACTTCATCTACACGGGCTTCCTGAGGAGGGGAGGTGCACTGGAGAAGCCGGCCGGCTGGCCGGAGTCGGGGCAGGGGCTGGGCAGGTGGTGAGGGGAGGAGAGCAGGTGGAGTGTGTGGCTGGGAGACTGTCGGTTTTGTAGGACATTCCAGTAAAGATTTTGTCTCTGCCCTAGGAGCGGTGGAAAGTCAGCCTAGTGGGTTGGTTTGTTTGTTTTTCTGAAGATATATTTACTTGAAAGGCAGAGTTAGAGGCAGAGAGAAAGAGAGAGAGAAAGAGAGAGAGAGAGGTCTTTCATCTGCTGGTTCACTGCCGAGATGGCCGTGACGGCCAGAGCTGAGCTGATCAGGAACCCTGAACTTTCTCTGGGTCTCCCGCACGGGTGCAGGGGCCCAAGCACTTGGGATATCTTCTGCTTTTCCAGGTCATAGCAGGGAGCTGGATCGGAAGTGGAGCAGCTGGGACTTGAACTTGTGCCCATATGGGATGCGGCACTGCAGGAGGTGGCTTTACCTCTCTGCCACAGCACTGGCCCCCCTAGTGTTTTAAGTGGGCAGCTGGTAGGCTAGGTTTGCTTTCCAGAGTCCCCTCTGCTGGCCGGTGGAGGACAGAATAAAATGAGGCAGCAGTGAAGTAGAGAAAACAGTTTGGTGGCTTTGTTACCCTCCAGCCAAGGGATGGTTACAACTTCAGTGAGAGTGACAGAAAAGGAGAGAAGGGAAAATCAGCAGATTGGATGCTCTCTGGAGCTGACTGATGTATGTAGGTGTTCAGGAGACACCATCATGGCTCCCTCCCTGTTTCTCATTCTGCCTTTCAAATAAATAAGACAGATCTTTAAAAAAAAAAAAAAAAAGAAAAAGTATGAGCACAGCCACAAGGGGCTGGCATTGTGGCATAGCAAGTGCACCAGCATCCCACATGGCATCTGTTTGGGTTCTGGAGGTTCCACTTCTGATCTGGCTCCTTGCCAGTGTGCCTGGCAAATCCGCGGAAGATGGTCCAGGTGCTTGGCCTGCACCCACGTTTCAGACCTGAAAGGAGCTCTTGGCTCCTGGCTGTTGCAGCCATTTGGGGAGTGAACCAGCGGATGGAAGATCACTGTCTTACCCTCTCTGTAACTTTGCCTTTCAAATAAATAAACAAATCTGTAAACACACATACACACACACACAGAACTGTTCAAAGTTAAAAGTTTAATCAGAAAAATGAGTCCTTAAGAAAGGCTAGACAGAGTGTCCCTAAGTGGAATGCTGGGTGTTCAACGAGAGGTGTGATGCCGCTGTCGCTTTACCGCGAGAAGTGAGAGGAGGGTCAGGGCTGGGGGTGAGGAGGAGAAGGAAGCAGCAGTTTGGGGAGAGTGGACATTAACAGAGTGCCTGTGAGTTCCAGAGACACAGTGAGATTTCCTGGCAGTATTTTAGTTTAATAAGCACCACTTGATGTCGTCTTTGACACTCAGGGTTGGAAGGAAGCAGGACAGGGCGCTGCAGGTAGCAGGTGCAGTCGCAGGGGATCCTGCGTCAGCGAGGCCGCATGCAGCCTCCGTGTGTCTTGCTGCTGCGACATGCTCTCCAGGGTTGCTGGGGCTGGGTCGGCCTGGTTTGTTCTAACTCGTGTTCTCCTTTTCCTCTGCAGGCAGGCAGAAGTCCTGAAGGCTGACATGACAGGTACTGGACTGTGTCTTTCTCACACTGATTCCGTGTCGTCAGGTTAACGGAAGAACAGCCTCTCTCCTGTCTGTCGTAGCACTGAGTCCTGTCGTAGGTGCCAGAGGGACGACAGCTTGCTGTTGGCCTCAAATAGTTACTGTTTTGTACTTTGAATTCTTACTTGAACCTGTCAGGAACTTTATATAGCACATGTCACACTGAATTGAATATTACCTAATTCTAAGTATGTAATCACTTAGTTTTTAACAGTGATTTAGCATACAGAAAAAATAGTTCCTCCTCCATATGAATTCGAATCTGCATAAACCAAACATCTTACCGTGTTAGGTTAATATCTTCCTGGGGAAATGCTCTTCCTATTTCTGATTACTCACACTTGCGTAGTAGGTAATCCTTCAAAAAAAGGATTTGCAGAACTGCACTGAGAGTCTTGAAGTTGAGTGAGTGACCTCACAGGCTTCCCTTTCTCTACTTGGAAGATGGCTGAGGGCTTCTGGGAGCAGGCGTTAGCTGCAGAACTCGCAGACACACGGTTCTCCCCCACGTGGTGACCAGCATCTGCTCTGCGCCGTGGGGCCGTGAAGAATTAAACTGCTGTGGTGTCCGTAACCGCCAGGATTGACAGTCCAAGGGAAATTGGGCCGTCGCGGTGCCTTTGGCTCACCTTGTAAAACCACAGTCACGGTACTGATACTGTCATCCAAAGAACAACTTAGCGTAGCCCCAGTTGGTGTAGCGCCTCGTCTCCGAGCTGCGCATGGTGGCGCCGTGAGCTGCTGCGGCGTGCTCCTGGGTTGGCACTGAGAGCGTGGCATGAACAGTGCGCGGGGCAACACCGTGCTCTGTGCCACTGCCTCTGGGCCGTGAGCACCCCAGTAAGTAGTGGGGTTTGACTTGTGCGGGGGCCGTGGGGCTGCCCGGGGGCTTCAGCTGAGATGTGATTTCCTCATCGAATGCAGCCCGTTTTCTTGCTGTCAGTGGATGTAAGCAGGTTTGGATAAACCTGCAAACCTGTTTGTGGTTGAGAACCTAGGGAGGACTTCCTTTTGGGCGGAGTCTCGGGGCCGGGGTTGGGTTGCTGCGTGGGGTGTGGCGGCTGCGTGCAGCAGCATCACGTAGGGACTGCTCGTTGGCGGCACGTCAGAGTGCCTTGCTGTCACTTGCTAAATGGAGCAGCTCGGCGGCGCCGATGCCGTGGGCTTCCCAGGGCTCTGGCAGACAGGGCGTGTGTGGGGGCCTCCTTTCAGAGTAAAAGACAAATACAGGCGCGTTGGAAGGCAGGTTTGGTCACCAGCTGAAAGGTGGACCTGTGGAAGGTGGTCCTGTGAAGCCAGGGACACACTCCTTTTCCTTTGGGGTTAGGGAGGGGAGGAAGCGTTGCAGGCACGAGGCTGGACCGTCTGATTGTCGTCTGTCATTGTGTTTCTGTTTATCACTCAGATTCCAAGCTGGGGCCGGCGGAGGTCTGGACTTCCAGGCAGGCTCTGCAAGACCTCTACCAGAGAATGCTGGTGACTGATTTGGAGTACGCTCTAGACAAGAAAGTAGAGCAGGATCTGTAAGTATGCTGTGTGGGGCAGCCTGCAAGGTCAAGGAGCGCACCACGGCTTTGAAACAGTTTGGCTATTTGCTTAAACTACCTCAGAGTAAGCTTTTTCAATGGAAACAGATTCTAATATTTGCGATTCTGTCGGAACAGAGTATATGGCCATATTATTTTAGACACAGTCTTCGGAGTTGAGAAAAATATTTAGAGTTAAATCTCGTTAAGGATGGCTCTTTTAGGGAAGGAATATCAGAGTGCTGGATGCTGTGTGTTCAGCCCCACATGTAAGCCTTGACTGATTGAAAGAAAAGATGCAAGCGTGCTTTGGGGAAATCTTAACTTGCTAAATGTGATTCTATAAATTGTTTCTGGAGAAAAATGTATTTGCCTTGTATAGAAAGTTCTTTTTCACCAAATTAGTATCCCCCCACACACAACCAAAGAAATATTTTGTGTATTTAAGCTATTCCACATGTTCTTTTTGTAAGGGGTGAAATTCATAGAACCAGATTCTAAAGTACATAAAGATCTTTTGTGTAGGCCCTTGGGTTGCCTGATGGGAAGTTTAAAGTCAGTTCAGAACATTCTGCCTAATAAAGCCCATTACCCTAAATGGTGGTGAGGGTTGATTTCTCCCATCGTGCACAGCTTTCTTAGATACTTCAGTCTAGTAATAGAGGCCGGCCACAGCCAGTCAGTCCACACCTGTGGTACTGGAGTCAGGGGGGAGCTGTCGTCAGGAACACTAGAGAGTGACTGTGCTGAGGGATTAACAAACCCAGCACGCGGGAGCAGGGGTGGGAGCCTCTCGCCCTGCCAAGGCAACCACAGGCAGGCCTAGAATTCAGTAAATCCATAGTAGTTTACTTTTCTTTGGTCATTGTGTATGGTTGTGAATGGTTTTCTTAAATATCCAAATGGCCCTCAGCAGAAGAAAGGTCCCCACCCCTGCTGTAGGTCTCAGAAGTTGCTACTGACAGACTAGTGTACTCTGCAGGTGGAATGTGGACTCCTCGTGTGTGTTTGCTGTTGATATTTTTCTCCCTGTGATTTTCAAGTCAGAGACCCTATTTCACCATAATTGAATTGAAAGTGATTATTTTTTTGTCACTTGATTGTTGGAGGCAATGTTATAATAGCATTTTGGTATACTATATATCCGCCTTGTGTTGTTTATTTTAAAGAGCCAAAATTGAAATGTGACTTCTATTTCAGGCTCTAGAGAAAATGTTAATCCTCAGAGAAGTTAGGAGAGCTATTCAGGAGGCATGGGGCGGAACGCCTGGAGATCTGTGTAACACGTCACCTGACAGGCTGCAGTCGCTTGGTTTTGGTACAGTGTGTGGAAATTGGCTGACAGCTGTTTCACTTTGGTCTTGCCACTCTAGTTGTGGTTCTGTAGTGGGGTCCCTGAACAGGCCGTGAGGCTCTAGTGGCTCTGAGAGATTAGTAGCCGAAGGCACAGTCTGACCGTTTGAACATTCGGTAAGTGTTTACTGAGGCCAGTTAGATGCTCTTGCATGTCTAGTCGTGTTCAAAGGGGAGCATAAAGGTATTTAATAACTTTAATACAGGCTTACTGTCTAGTTTGGCATAATTATAACAAATAGTTCTTTCTTGTTCTCAGGGGGACCAGTGTCTGCCCTGTGAGTCACTGCTGTACCCAATAGAATTACATTTTGTTTTCAGCTGGAATCATGCCTTTAAGAATCAGATCACAACACTGCAAGGCCAGGCAAAGAATCGAGCAAACCCGAATCGGAGTGAAGTGCAGGCAAACCTCTCCCTGTTCCTAGAGGCAGCTAGTGGCTTCTACACGCAGGTGAGCTCTTCGTTACATACTGATTTTCTCCTGTTAGTGGTCAGCTCTCTACTCCTCAGGTCATCTTAAATTGTTTACCACAGTGGTTTAAAAAAAGAGTTCCCACTCTTAAAAAGTTTGATATTTTGGCATAAATGTATGCATACAGAAGAGGTAGCACACGAACAAAGCGTTAGTGAGCTGGCGGCCGGGGCAGAGCGCTTGCTCACGTGTGCGTTTAGTCACGGTGAGAGCAGCCGTGTTGTGCAAGATGAGATGCAGTCAGGATTGAAACTCTCACGTGAATGTTCAGAATGGTGTTATTTACACCACGGAGTTTATGTAGATCTTGAAACATTACTAGCCTGTGCGAAACGGAGTGGCTTTTCCTCACTTTCCTTATCGCGTCTGGCTAGAACGTCTCAGGCCAGGTGAAGGGAGAAGCAGGCTTGTTTCTTCTGATCGTGGGCTTTTCTCCACTGTAAGCAGGATCTTTCAGAAGACTCCCATCGCACCCATTTTTAATAACAAGATTTTATTTATGTTAACACTGAAGGGCAACGTTAGAGAGAGAGAGAGAGGTCTTCCATCCATCCTCTGGTTCACTCCCCAAATGGCCACAACAGCCAGGGCCGGCCAGACTGAGGCCAGCAGCCGGGGCTCCTTCCCGGTCTCCGTGTGGTACAGGGGCCCTGCAGTGCCGGGGTCGTCTTCTGCAGCTTGCTAGGCGCGTAAGCAGGGAGCTGGGCTGGAAGTGGAGCAGCAGGACTGACTCACTGGCACCACTGTGGCTGCTCGCGGCGGCTTCACCTGCTGCGCCACAGCGCCGGCCCCTTGCCGTGCCTTTGAAGCAGAAGAAAAGGGCCCGAGGGCTGGATGACATCAGCGCTGTCAGCGAATGGGGATCATTTATTCATGTTTACTCGGATTGAACATTTGTCACAGTTCGTCACTAAAGAACTCAAGTACATTTCCTATTCTCAGGACATTTTCAAGTTTAGGCCAGTTTTTACAGCGTAAGTTGGTACTTCTGGAGGAGGCCCAGTGTGCACATGTTCAAGCTTGCTGTTTTACAATGGCTGTCGAACTCATGGTGCTAGCGCACAGCCCAGCTGCGGGGGCGCGAGGCAGTTAGGACAGGTGGTTTACCGTTTAGGAGATACCCAGTGTAAATGAAAAGTGAATACGTTATAGATACTGTGGGCGTTTTGTTTTGTATTTCTGACCTTAAAAATAACACTTGGGGCCAGCACTGTGGCATAGCAGATAAAACTGCCACCTGCAGTGTCGGCATCCCATATGGGTGCCGGTTCAAGTCCTGGCCGCTCCACTTCCAATCCAGCTCTTTGCTATGTCCTGGGAAAGCAGTAGAAGATGGCCCAAGTCCTTGGGCCCCTGCACCTGCGTGGGAGACCCAGAAGAAGCTCCTGGCTCCTGACTTCGGATTGGCACAGCTCCGGCTGTTGTGGCCAATTAGTGAACCAGTGGATAGAAGACCTCCCTCCCTCCCTCCCTCTCTCTCTCTGCCTCTCCTTCTCTGTGTAACTCTGGCTTTCAAATAAATAAATAAATATTTTTTAAAAAATGCATGTTTTAAGAAATTTGAAAGGCATCCAGTGTCCCAAAATTTTTTCATGAATGTCCCCATTCAAGATAAATTGCCACTTTAATATCTCCAGTGTTTATATATATTTACATAATTAAGATAGTACTGTACATCTAGTTTTGTATCTGTTTATATAAATATGAGTTCTTTGTTTAAACAGTTTAATAAATATATGCATAGCATAAAGTATTTTCTCTAATATTGGCTTATTTCCTGAGGACTAGCACTTCAAATTGAAATCATTAGATTAGTAAAAGTTGAAATGGTGTTAATATATTTTGTTGTTTTCCCAAAGGATCATCATTTGTAACATTTCCCCCCAGTTTCTTCTGTTCACTTGTCTAGTGTTTTGTGGAGTAGAGAAGTTATTAGGTTTAGCTTCCTTCTTGACAGTTTTTTACTTTTGTCCATAGTCAGCGGATATATTTAATAATAATCACACCTGAGGAAGCAAATGAATAATCAATTCAAATTTGACATTTGAAAATACCAGTGTCGTGTAACAGGGTAATAGGTAAATTATAGCATGACTATAAATTTGGACATGCGAAACTATTATAAATAATGCTTACGAAGTTTTCTGTAGAAGATTCATTATTTATTTGAGAGTCAGAGTTGCCGAGGGAGAAGGGGAGACCGAGGTCTTCCATCCGCTGGTTCAGTCCCTCAGGGCTGTGACGTCCAGGGCTGGGCCAGGAGGATGCCAGGAGCCTGGAACTCAATCCAGGCTTCCCACGTGGGTGCAGGACCCTAAACGCTTGGGCTGGGCCTTTAGTGGAGAGCTGGTCGGATGTTAAGCAGCTGAGTCGTGAACTGGCACCCACATGGAATGTGTTTGTCACGGGCGGCAGCTTGACCGGCTACATCACAGAGCCAGCCCCAAGATTTTGTTAAATGTTTCTCAAATTGATCTACTTGAAAGGCAGAGCAATGGAGACAGAAAGAAGCATCTCCGAGCTGCCAGTTCAGTCCCCAGATGACAGCGACGGCTGGCGATAGGCCAGGCTGAAGTCCATCGTTAAGAACTCCGTCTGGGTTTTCCACATGCGTGGATGGCAGGAACCCAAGTACTTGAGCCGTCCTCGCTTCTTCCCAAAGTGCACGTTAGCAGGAAGTGGGCTCCATGCTTGCTCACCCGCTGCGCCACGGTGCCGGCCTGAGGGTTGTTTAAGATGAGAAAATTGTTTTGTTGTTAATAAAAAGTCATAGTGACGCGGTCTCAGCTCAGGGGGATGTTAACCAAGGCCCTGTCTGCCCAGCTGGGCTTTGAGCCGTGTTCTGCTCTCCCAGAGTTCCGTAGGCACTTAAACAGCTTCTGTGGACGTTTCGGGCGCTTGCAGTTTCTGAAGCAGAGTCTAGTTTTAAAACTTGTCTTGTTTCTGACTCCGATCTCTCGTTGTCCCGTGCAGCAGAAGACAACTGGAATATGGCTTGGGAGGCAGAGGAGCAGGAAGGAGGTGGTGCAGCCGCCGGAGGCCGGGAGGCAGCCACTGGCAGTGCATTTCTAGAGTGGCTGTTATCCAGATGAGCTTGTCATCCTGGAAAGCAATTTTTTTTAAGATTTATTTTTGTTTATTTATTTGAAAGAGTTATAAAGAAAGGGAGAGACAGAGATCTTCCATCCACTGGTTCACTCGTCAAATTGCTGAAGCCAGGAGCCTGAAACTCCATCTGGGTGTCCCAATGGGGGGCGGGGCCGTCTCTGCTGCTTTCCCAGGCCCATCAGCAGAGAGCTGGATCAGAAGTGGGGCGGCGGGGTCTCATACTGGCGCCCATGGGATTCCAGCAGCGCAGCTGGTGGGTGGCTTAACCCTGTGCACCACAGTGCTGGCCCTTTGAAAGTGATTCGTGACCTTTAACCTTTATGATGTGGTGACGTGTGTTCAAGGATTTAACTGGACATTGGTAAGCTGAAGTCTTCAAGAAAGTAAAGCAAGAATCTTTTTTTTTTTGAGGGGGTATAATGTTTGTAAAAGCATTTTGTTAGAAGATATAAACATTAAATGTCTCAAAAATGGTTTTATAAGGGGGAAATGTGGGTAATTTAATTTTGAAATTAATTTTTAAGCAGCCTGCATTGATTTTCCCTGCTTGCACTTCACAGGCAGTGGTTAAGTTTTGCTTACATTCCGTGTTAGTTTAGGCACCAGCGTCAGGGCTTTTCACTTGCAGTTTTAGGTTATGATGTTGATAATTGGTCTTTGAAGCAGGTAGTAGTTCCTTGGTTACATGCACTGCAAATTTAACCACCAGCCTAAGGAAGTAGACCAATTCTAGATCTTTATATGGCCTGTTCGCAAGATGTAGATTTTGAGTTTTGATTTTAAGTGTAGTTGCGTGCCGTTGGAAAATAAGCAAGGGACTAACGTGTTCAGATTTGCTTTTGTTAAGAGGACCGTGATACTGGGGTCACAGCTGGAAGCCCATTAGGATGCTCCTGTGCCAGTGCAGAGAAATAGGTAGACCTCTGCAGCATAGCCACTAAGACTTGACTGGATTGGATCTGTGGTGTCAGAGTAAAGGATACCGAGAAGTCACTGGCCTGAGCAGCTGGTTGAGTAGTTGTACCGTGTGCTCCGATGGGGCTCACTGGAGGACAGCAGCTTTGTCCCTGTTAGATTAGAGCAGTGACTGATGTCTCAGTCGAGATGGCAAATAGGTTAATTGGAGAAGCAAGCTGGGAAGGTCAGCGGCAGGCTGAATTTCATGACGACCGTGATAACCTGGGGTGATGCAGATGGGAGCAGGTTTAGCGGAAAGGGAGCCCCTGTCGCGGAGGGAGAACACTCAGGAGAGGGGCCTCACAAGACGAGGCAGGAACATTAATAGGACTGATGGCAAGTCACTATCTAATGGCAGTGTGTGTTTTTTCCACTCACAATGTTATGTAAATGCTAGTTCTCATCTTACAACTTTCGGTGTCTTCAGCAGAAGTATAATTGGAGTGAATTGAGAAGAGACTGGCTATGAGTTTATTAACTGGTTAAAGCTTGGTGTCTTAAGCAGAACCAATCCCTGGTTAAAGATGTGCCATTATGCTGTGCTATAGGTTTTTGTCCACATCAGAGGTCAGAATAGTTGTCCTTATTCTGAGACTGGAAATCAGAAAGAAGGCTTTGTCGTCAGTTGCTGTATTAGGATAAAGGAATATCTCTGCTTCTTGGCCTAGAGTGAATGGCTCAGAGAAGTGGAATGATGCTATAAAGTTCCGCTGACGGATGGGGCCAACTCTCGGTGACTCCTTGGCTTGCTCATCTGAAGAGCAGAGTGGACACGTGCTTGTAGGTTCCTTTGCCAGTTTGCAGTTCTGTGATTGAAGTTTGGGGCGAACAGGAGGTGTTGTTCGCTCAGTGACTCCTGTGGATGCCTTGTGGTCAGTACTTGTGTGTGATGGAGTCACCCATCCAGACTTAGGAAGCTGCCGCCACGTCAAGCATCGGGGGTCAGCCTGTGTGGAGACAGGATGCAGCTTCACAGAGAAATTGCCAAGCACACACTCATGTTTTGAAATGCGTGTTCCTCTGCTTGCGCCTTGCGACTCCTCTGAACCAGCCAGGCGCTTTCCCAGAGTGTGGAGCCAGCAGCCCTTCCCTCTCTGTCGTCCCCACTGAGGACTCCTGGCTCGGGCAGAGACGTTATCCCCAGCCGTTCTACGCGGTGTTCCGACCATGTTTGGTTTACTTTTTGTGATCCTTCCTTTATTCTTTAGAAGTTTGTTTTCTGGTCTTTTGGTACCTACTAAACTTGTTTTTTTTTCTCTTGTGTTTTTTCATTTTCTGGTTACCTGTTTTGTTTTTAAAGATTTATTGTATTTATTTTGAAAGAGTTACAGAGAGAGGCAGAGACAGAGAGGTCTTCTATCCGCTGGTTCACTCCCCAGATGGCTGCGGTGGCCAGAGCTGTACCAATCCGAAGCCAGGAGACAGGAACCAGGAGCTTCCTCCGGGTCTCCCAAGGACTTGGGCCATCTTCTACTGCTTTCCCAGGCCACAGCAGAGAGCTGGATTGGAAGAGGAGCAGCCGGGACTAGAATCGGCGCCTATACGGGATGCCAACACTTCAGGCCAGGACTTTAACCCACTGCACCAGAGCGCCAACCTATTTACCTGTTTTTGATCACTCCCACTGCCCCCACCCCTGAGCCTTTTTAGAAAGAGTAATGATAGGCTCAGCTATTTTAATCTGGAACCTTAGATCACTTGAAAACTTCTGTTGCTTTCATAATCTCATCTGAAAAAGTGGTGCATATTCTTACATATACTGTGTTGCTGCTGGTTTTATCACAAAAATAAAGTGACATCAAATGACCAAGGGAGGGCCGGCACTGTGGCGTAGCGGATAAAGCCGCTGCCTGCAACACTGGCATCCCATATGGCCACCAGTTCAAGTCCCAGATGCTCCATTTCCCATCCAGCTCTCTGCTGTGGCCTGGGATAGCAGTAGAGGATGGCCCAAGTCCTTGGGCCCCTGCACCCATGTGGGAGACCCGGAGGAAGCTCCTGGCTCCTGGCTTCAGATTGGTACAGCTCTGGCCGTTGCAGCCATCTGGGAGAGTGAACCAGCCGATGGAAGACCCCTCTCTCTCTCCTTCTCTCTCTCTCTCTCTCTCTCTCTCTGTAACTCTGACTTTCAAATAAATAAATAAATCTTAAAAAAAATAATCTAGGGAAGGAGGCTTAACCTACATGTAGGGTATTCAGTTGGCTTGTGCTGTGTGTTTTGCTTGACTCGGTTTCCTGCCCCCTCTCCTCTCCCCTGGTCTCATGTTGTACCTGACTCCCTCATTTGGCTGTGAACGCTGTGAGGGCAGGTTTTCTTATTCATCAGTGTGTTTCTACTGCTTACCCTATTTGATTCAGCAGCCAAATATTTGGATGGATATATTTCTAAGTAAAGATTTGTATCCGTGAGAATAGAATGTGCAGGAGCCATGTGGGAGCCAAGAATTAAAGAGCTGGCAAAGAGGGTGGGAGGAGAAAGGCCTTTGAACGGAGGAGACTGCGAAGGAGCAGTTGGAGAGATACCAGGGACTCAGAAAGCAGAGGGATCCGGTTCTGATGACTGAAGGCTGCTGGCCCTGTTTGGCGGTCGGGGAGCAGGCTGTGATGGGCGGCAGTGGCAGGGGGCCTGGGTGGCAATGAATGAGCAGTGAGCAGCAGTGGAGGACGCAGTTTGGAAAGTGTGGTTGAGAAGAGGGGAGACAGTAGAAGGTTGCTGGAGAGGGATTGTGGGCCCGGCTTGTGTTTTGTTCCTGTTTGCTTCATTGGGAGACTCTTGCTGTGTTTAGGCCATGGGATAGAAGCAGGAGGGGAGACAAGCCTGGGACAAAAACGAATGGAATGGCAGCCATGTCCAGACAGAGGGCTTCGCTCTGACCAGGGCGATGAGCACCCCTCCCCCTGTGAGAATAGAGAAGAGGGGTGAGGTTGAGCGAGCGAGGTAGAATTTCTGTGGTGTCTGTTGTGTGTGCGGAGACGTGGAGTGGCTTAAGAAAATCCTGACATCTGACACACCTGGGCTTGCATTTGCGTCAGACCGTGTAACACCCACCCTGATGTTTCGTGTATGCTTCTGAGAGAAGCAGCTGGTTCTGTGCTGTGCTGCTGGCGGTGCCTGGGAGCCCTGTCTGCGTGAATATCCTTCGAGACCCTGCGGTTCCTTCAGGGCGCACACCCTAGCTTGCACGCATGTGCGAGAATGCGAAGGGGATGATCCGTGACTCATGGCACGGGTGTTGTCCTCCGAAAGCTGACGTGGTTCTCATGTGGTCCTTGCGCAGGTCCCCCGTGTATGACCCTGCAGTGTGCTGGCTTTACTGCTACAGCACTCTGACCGACCACTGAACCTTGCTTGTGTTTCTCTTTTAGTTATTACAAGAACTGTGTACAGTGTTCAATGTAGATTTACCGTGTCGTGTGAAGTCTTCCCAACTGGGAATTATCAGCAATAAACAGACACATACAAGCGCCATAGTGAAGCCGCAGTCCAGTTCCTGTTCCTACATCTGCCAGCACTGCCTCGTCCACCTTGGAGACATTGGTGAGCCTTCAGCGCGCAGGGATGGCGACACAGGTGTCCTTGTGCTCGCATCAGTCACAGAGAGAGCCTTCTCCTTTAGTACAGCCGTAGACACAGGCTTGGAATTGGCATCTGAAGTGTAGGCTGTATTTTTAGGAACTTACAAGTTTTCAGTGTTTGGGGACTTGGAGGATCTTGAAGGAAATAACATACTAAGATTTAAATTTTATTCAAACTTTATGCAGATGTAGACAAATTATAAACAGCAAAGTGAAATCAAAGGTGCTGTATTTCTGAACTCCTGGGCTGTGCTGTGAATGACTTCTCCTAAAGCCAGCTCGCCTTCTTTCCTGCCAGGGTGCTAGAAGCTGCATTATAATTTTGCTTCCTTTTTAAAGCTAAATTTGTATTTCCATTATATGTATTTCATGTGGGAATGTTATATAACTTATTTATTCTTGTCATTCCTTCAAGGTGACCTAAAAAAGTTATAAAACAAATTAACTATAGGATTATGTTTTGCTTGTCCTTAAATCACAAGGATTAGAGAACATTGCTGCTTTAGAGTTTGAAGGTTGTAGGTTTCCTGATGTCATGAGTGAGTGCCTCCAGGGAGGGTGGGGATCGCATCAAAGGAAGCAGTGAGTTCTGGGAGAGGCAGTGGCAGGGCTTGAGGTTGCTTCTGTTTTAAGGAAATTTATACACACATACTTGGATTGGAGTAAGTAGAAGGCTTTTTTCAAAATCACCTTATAAAATATTGAAGAAATACGTAAATTTTCAGATCATATTGTATAGTGTTTTTTTGTTTTGTTTTGTTTTTAAGTGCCATATAAGTCTCACCCCTTCTTGTGGGCCGGCTCCAGGTCACCAGCATAGTCCATAGTGAGCGCTGGTGATGCCTGACCCTGGAGGACCTGAAAGTGGGGGCTCGGTAAGCTTTGCCGTTGGTTACGTGCTGACTGTCCCAGCTAGGGCAGGCCAGGTGGACACTTCATACATAATCCTATAGTTACTTTGTTTTAAAGTGTTTTCTGTCTCATGACCTTACCTTGAATTTATTATCTTCAGAATGTAAAACCACAGCTGTTTCGGACATGTGTTACTGGTGGGTTTTTTGTTTGTTTCTTAAGCTGAGTTTTCTTTCCTTCTCAGCTCGATACAGAAACCAGACCAGCCAGGCAGAATCCTACTATCGACACGCAGCTCAGCTCGTCCCCTCCAATGGTGAGTGGGCCTGAGCCCGGGAGTTGACGAGACACTTTGTTCTGTGCAGTCACGCAGCGAATGCAGAAGCAGTGGATGTTGAGTTTTGGATCGAATGTCGTATTTTCCCTTTTGACTGCATCTTATAGCCTGAAATGAATTTTTTTTCTTTCACAAACATGCATTTTATTTTCAGTAAAGCAATCCAAATAATTGATGTGATCTGACGTGGTTTCTACAACTCTGGCTTCCTTATAATTGCTTATAGAATAGCTGTCTCTTTACTATTACCGTTTCCTCCTAGAAAAATGATCTGTTCTTTTGCCTTTTGATGGCCCCAGAATAGCCGTTGCAGCAGACGCTCGGGAGTGTGAGACATTCTTGTTGAGCCACATGGGAATCCTCGAGAGTGCAGTCTAATGCGGGGCTGGCGGTCTTGTCTACGGCACCGCTCACACCGTGGCAGCGTCCCGTGGCTGGGAATAGACACATTTTGCTCCTCAAAGCCCAAAATATTTTTGTGTGTCTAACCTGTTCATTTCTTTCGGGGCTGCGCCAAAACGCACAGCAGGGACTTCATCCAGGTCTCCCCGAGGGAGGCAGGGACCAGCTCCCGGAACCGTTGCTGTTGGTGCCTGAGCAGGAAGCAGGGCTCTGAACTGCTCTGAGAAGCAGCCCGGGCTGGTGGAGCCTCTGTGGTGGTGGTGGTGTCCTGTCACGGGAGTGTCCGCTCGCGTGAGCCTGAGATGGATCTCACGTGTCCTGTCACGGGAGTGCCCGCTCGCGTGAGCCTGAGATGGATCTCACGTGTCCTGTCACGGGAGTGCCCGCTCACATGAGCCTGAGATGGATCTCAGGTGTCCTGTCACGGGAGTGTCCGCTCGCGTGAGCCTGAGATGGATCTCAGGTGTCCTGTCACGGGAGTGTCCGCTCGCGTGAGCCTGAGATGGATCTCAGGTGTCCTGTCATGGGAGTGCCCGCTCGCGTGAGCCTGAGATGGATCTCAGGTGTCCTGTCACGGGAGTGTCCGCTCGCGTGAGCCTGAGGTGGATCTCAGGTGTCCTGTCACGGGAGTGCCCGCTCACGTGAGCCTGAGGTGGATCTCACGTGTCCTGTCACGGGAGTGCCCACTCGCGTGAGCCTGAGATGGATCTCAGGTGCAGAGCGTGCTCCGTTTTTAATGTAGAGGTTGAAGACTGACGGTTTCTGTTCTGAGAGCAGGAGTTTGTGCTGCCTGGGTCACTGTGGATCTTGGCTCTGTCCTGCAGGTCAGCCCTACAACCAGTTGGCCATCCTGGCTTCCTCCAAAGGAGACCACCTGACCACCATCTTCTACTACTGCAGAAGCATTGCTGTGAAGTTCCCCTTCCCAGCCGCCTCCACGAACCTGCAGAAAGCACTTTCTAAAGCCCTGGAGAGGTAGGGCTGACTTCCTTCCCAGAGGGCTTTGTCGCTCTGAGGCGTACAGGCCGTCACGGCCACGACGGTCCGTGTCCGGCCTGCTCTGGGCGGGGAGCCCAGGCTGCGGAGCACCCCCGCTTCCCCGCTTCCCCGCTTCGGGTCAGGAGCTCAGAGCGCGGTGCAGCTGCTCACGACTCACGGACGTTTTCCTTCCATTTCAGCCGGGATGAGGTGAAAACCAAGTGGGGTGTTTCTGACTTCATCAAGGCCTTCATTAAGTTCCACGGGCACGTGTACCTGAGTAAGAGCCTGGAAAAGTTGGGCCCTCTTCGAGAGAAGTTGGAAGAACAGTTTAAGGTTAGATTCTGAAAGTGGGGGATTTTTGTCTTGTCTAAATCAGAACGTGTAAGAGTTGGAGGAACCTGGCTCCCAGTTTTTATGTCATTTCTTAACTCCTGGTAAAAACTAAGTGTGTTTCACAGATTGGTGTGAGGAGATAAGTGATCTTTGTTCTGGTTTTGTAGGTATGTATAAAAGGGGTCTTTCATTAATACAGAAAGAAGTGAGCAGCTTAGATGTGGCGTCGTGCATAAACGATGGGAGAGTCCAGGGTGCCTGCCACCTTTGTATCCGCTCATTCAGCAGATAGGTTCGACTGTGTATCAGTTGCAGTTTAAGGCACTGTGATCAACAGGAAACAAGACAGTCTCAGAAACACTGCGTTTCTTGTTTGTTTCTGCGTGTCCACACGCGGGGGCCGGGCAGTTTCTGTGTCAGCATTGTGAGAGTCCTCCACTCCGAGACACGTGGAGCTTGGTGGGTGAGACGGATGCAGGCAGTGTGGCACCGTGTGTATAGATAGTCAGTGTTTAGTTGATTCTGTGTGCAAGAGGTGGTACTAGAAAAAGTGTAATAGGATTTGTCTTATGTATTTACAATTTAAGGTTTTATAAAGTTCATTTTAAAATAAGTTACCTAATTTAGAGCCACCTGATTCTCTTCTGTGTCTCCTAGCAGCCGTAAAAACCTGTATTTCACTTCTCAAACACTACATTGTGCCCAATAAAGTATCACCTGGTACCCCATAAATAGTAACTAGAAATTAAAAAAGCTTAGCCCATGATACATCATTTGAAGAGTTCCACTGTTTGTTTGTTTGTTTAAAAAGATTCTGTTTATTTATTTGAGAGGTAGAGTTACAGGAGGGAGAGGGAGAGACAAAAAAGAAAAGTCTTCCATTCTCTGGTCACTCCCTACAAGGCTGCAACGGCTGGAACTGGGCTGATCCAAAGCCAGGAGCTTCTTCCAGGTCTCCCACGCTGGTGCAGGAGCCCAAGCACTTGGGCCATCCTCCACTGCTTTCCCAGGCCACAGCAGGGAGCTGGATGGGAAGAGGAGCAGCGACACTACAGGCAGAGGATTAACCTGCACCACAGTGCCAGCCTCTGTCTTTTATTTTCAAAGTTCTATTCATTCATTTGAAAGAGAGCCTCCATCTGCTTATTCACTGCCCAGATGCCACAGCTGGGGCTGGGCCAGGTTAGAGCCAGCAACCTTCGGCAGATCCCGGATCCTGACTGCCCTGCCACACACTGGGCCTCCACCTCCAGTGTCGCAGTGCCCTCCCTGGTCAGACTGGGAGTTACAAACCGCTGTAATTAGTTTCGTAATAATGGAGACGTGTGAAGGATTGTTTTGAAAGAAGAATATTTCTGTGTTTCCTGAAGTCAAGATCTGTGAGCGGTTGTAGAGGGAGAGTGTGGATTCTCCTCTTTGTAGCTGTCTGTCTTGGTTTAGAGATCGTCCTACTGAGGGCGCTGGGCCAGGTGGTCTCTGGGGTTTGCTGTGGCTCTGGGTCTTGGAAAACTGCATTTCCTAACTGAGCGCTTCACGGGTACATTAGTGCCGTCCGGAACTTGGGCTTTTGCATTTGATTCCGTCTGAAGCATTTTTGGTGGCTGTAGGTGGGCAGTTGCTGAGTTACATGTTGTAGTATGGTTCCAGCACTCAGAAGTTAAACTTGGTAGGAGGAAGATCTATTTGAAATTTCACCCAGCATTAAAACACAAGGAACAGATTATTGGAGTGAAGCGTTCGCATTTCTGCAACACCTGTAGATAGATAATAATGTCTCCCACAGGTCCACACCCATGTGTCTTAGCTGTCCGTCTGCAGCAGAAATACTTGCCAGACCGAGGTCTGCTGAGCTTGAGGCCTGAGGTGTAGGACTGGCGAGGAGCAGCCTTTTCTGTCGTGTGGGTGCTGTTTCTCGGGGCTTCAGTTCTGTGTAGTCTTGAGCAGCCAGCTGGCAAGAACAGGTCACGGCTCACCTGGTTTTATTCCCTGGGGAACCCCTGCTTGCTCTGATGCCATCTGCACTTCATGAAATCACAACTGAATAATTTTACATGGATTCCCACAGATGTGGGTTTACCGAGTCCCTGCTGTGTCCCAGGTACTTCCCGGGCTGTCGGAGGTGGAGCGTCTGTGCCTTCCTGAGTGTGCGCTGTCATCTGTTGGCTGGGTGCAGACGTGTGAGTGCTTCTGGGAGTTCAGGCCTGGTGCTCTGCGGGACACCACCTCTCCCAGCAGACGCAGGGCTCCCGCACCACGGACACTGGGAACGGTTCCCCTTGAAAATGCAGATTCATCTTCTCAGTTTATGTGAGTGACCAGCTTATTTAGAAGGTTGGATGCAGAGGTCAAAGGTGTGAGTGGCCAGCTGATTTAGAAGGCTGGATGCAGAGGTCAAAGGTGTGAGTGGCCAGCTGATTTAGAAGGCTGGATGCAGAGGTCAAAGGTGTGAGTGGCCAGCTGATTTAGAAGGCTGGATGCAGAGGTCAAAGGTGTGAGTGGCCAGCTGATTTAGAAGGCTGGATGCAGAGGTCAAAGGTGTGAGTGGCCAGCTGATTTAGAAGGCTGGATGCAGAGGTCAAAGGTGTGAGTGGCCAGCTGATTTAGAAGGCTGGATGCAGAGGTCAAAGGTGTGAGTGGCCAGCTGATTTAGAAGGCTGGATGCAGAGGTCAAAGGTGTGAGTGGCCAGCTGATTTAGAAGGCTGGACGCAGAGGTCAAAGGTGTGAGTGGCCAGCTGATTTAGAAGGCTGGACGCAGAGGTCAAAGGTGTGAGTGGCCAGCTGATTTAGAAGGCTGGACTGCAGAGGTCAAAGGTGTGAGTGGCCAGCTGATTTAGAAGGCTGGACGCAGAGGTCAAAGGTGTGAGTGGCCAGCTGATTTAGAAGGCTGGACGCAGAGGTCAAAGGTGTGAGTGGCCAGCTGATTTAGAAGGCTGGACGCAGAGGTCAAAGGTGTGAGTGGCCAGCTGATTTAGAAGGCTGGACGCAGAGGTCAAAGGTGTGAGTGGCCAGCTGATTTAGAAGGCTGGATGCTGAGGTCAAAGGTGTGAGTGGCCAGCTGATTTAGAAGGCTGGACGCAGAGGTCAAAGTGTGAGTGGCCAGCTGATTTAGAAGGCTGGACGCAGAGGTCAAAGGTGTGAGTGGCCAGCTGATTTAGAAGGCTGGACGCAGAGGTCAAAGGTGTGAGTGGCCAGCTGATTTAGAAGGCTGGATGCAGAGGTCAAAGGTGTGAGTGACCAGCTGATTTAGAAGGCTGGATGCAGAGGTCAAAGGAGAAGTGCTGTGGGAGAATTCTGGAGAAGAAATAAGGTTTGGGGAAGTTTGAGGAAAAGAAAGGAAAGTGCTTGGTAACTGACACGGGCGTGAGGAGCCGGCACTCACCCCGGGGAGCGTGGAGGCCGCCGGGGCGCACACGCTCGCAGCTGGCAGGCTGGCGGGACTGGCGTTTATGCTGCGCTATCCTTGAGAGTAATCTGAAGTGATGGACGTGTCCGAGTAGAATTAAGTTGAGGCCATCAGCCCAGCGCCTCAGGGTGAGCAGGTCACGGAGCGTCTAGTCGTTACGTGAGGAGAGTTGGCGAGGATCGTGGGAGGGCGTCGTGGGCATCACTCTGGAAGCTCCTGGAAAGTGCCCTGATGTTGGCTCTAGTGCAGTTAGCCTGTGTGTGCTCTTTCTTTACAAGTCAGTAGTCTTTGAAAGACTAAATTTTATAATGAATCTTGCAAGTTATGCTTTGTGTAGCAAGAGTTCAAAAGGGTATTTTTTAGCCCTTTTGTTTGAAAATTTTTCACTAACATGCATATTTTCCAAGCATTGATCTCAGTGTAATATTTTAATATGTGTGGATCTAAACCAGTTAGAATGGATTAAGACATATAAACTTACGGCTGGAGCCCCAAAACTTTTTTTCTCAGGACATATTAAAAAATAATTTTTTAGGGGATAAAAGTTCATCACAAAAACAGTTCTGACAATTCTGTGGTGTTTGGGAATGGTCAGCGGTGGAGGTGGACTCCCTTCCTGGCAGAGTCGTCAGCTTGGGGAGCATCTGACCCTAAGCTTGAGGCTGCAAGTGGAACCGTTGCCGCGTCTGGAATGCTGTTCCTGGGGGTTCTAGGTGTACCTGTGGGCGCAGTCCTTGGGCCCCACACGCTCCTGTTCTGCTTCCTTTCACAGAGGCTGCTGTTCCAGAAGGCGTTCAACTCGCAGCAGTTGGTGCACGTCACCGTCATTAACCTGTTCCAGCTGCACCACCTCCGTGACTTCAGCAGCGAAACAGAGCAGCACAGCTACAGCCCAGACGAGCAGCTGTGTTGGACTCAGTTGCTGGCCCTCTTTAGTGAGTGTTAAATCATTTAACTTCGACAAAGGTTGCTATCTTTGAAAAAGCATAATATTGAGCTTTTTTGTCAATGTGGCAAAGCACAGTGACAGATAAAGTAGACCTGTGCGTTTAGTGAATCAGGTCACTCGAACCCCAGGTTCTGCCCTCTGTCAGCTGACACCCCCTCCCCAACCATAGAACACGTTAGCCTGAAACAGAAAGTGCCGTTTTAGCAGGAAACACTGGGATGGGTGGGTGCTCAGAGGCTCGCAACGCTGGCACACGTTCAGTCTCACACACTTTCCCGACGTTCTTCTTTGAAGTGTCTTTCCTCGGCGTCCTGTGCAAGTGTCCTCTCCAGGCTGAGTCTCAGGAGGAGCCCAGCAGCGCCTTCCCGCTTCCTGCGGTCAAGGTCTCCATGGACTGGCTGCGGCTCAGACCCCGTGTCTTCCAGGAGGCGGTGGTGGACGAGAGGCAGTAGTAAGTGTGTCCCGCTCTCCTGGGTGCTCGTGTGCGCTGCGTGTTCGGTACTCAGACACGTGAAATCTGTCTTCAAAAGCAGCACAGAACAGTGGAAGACTGCTTTCTGCCTGCTCCCTGCAGACTGCAGGAAGCGTCTGTGCCGTGCGTCTGTTCATCTCCACTCTCAGTGAGGCAGGGTCTTAGGACTGGTGCCTCCTGCTGCTCGCTCCTGTCTCCAGGTGCAGCGTTCACACTCAAGATGAACGTGCAGTGGAATCATGTCTGTCTTATCCAGCACAGTGTGCTCACAGTGTGTGTCCAGGAGTAGAAGGGAAGTCTCATTTCTCCCATTATTTCCTATATATCAACTGTTGCATGTTGCCTTTCAGTGACAGACAGTTTCAATTACATTTATTTTAGGCGTAGAAGATTGAAAGTTGTTCTGACTCTCATCTTTTCTGTAATCTGTACTCAAAGTAATTCTGATAGTTCTCAGAACTATGGACTTCATGGGGACACATGAAAGCTCTCCATTTACCTGGTAGTCCAGTGTGTGTTCTGGTAGTCCAGCGTGTGTTCTGATAGTCCAGCGTGTATATTTGATGGTACAGAGTGTGTGTTCTGATAGTACAGCGTGTGTGTTCTGGTAGTCCAGCGTGTGTGTTCTGGTAGTCCAGCGTGTGTGTTCTGGTAGTCCACCGTGTGTTCTGATAGTCCAGCGTGTGTTCTGATAGTCCAGCATGTATATTTGATGGTACAGAGTGTGTGTTCTGATAGTCCAGTGTGTATATTTGATGGTACAGAGTGTGTGTTCTGGTAGTCCAGTGTGTATATTTGATAGTCCAGCGTGTGTTCTGATAGTCCAGCGTGTGTGTTCTGGTAGTTCAGTATGTATATTTGATAGTCCAGCGTGTGTTCTGATAGTCCAGCGTGTGTGTTCAGGTAGTCCAGCGTGTATATTTGATGGTACAGAGTGTGTGTTCTGATAGTCCAGTGTGTGTGTTCTGATAGTGCAGCATGTATATTTGATGGTACAGAGTGTGTGTTCTGGTAGTCAGCGTGTTCTGGTAGTCCAGCGTGTATATTTGATAGTGCAGCGTGTGTGTTCTGATAGTGCAGCGTGTGTTCTGATAGTGCAGCGTGTGTGTTCTGATAGTGCAGCGTGTGTGTTCTGTTTCAGTGTAAATGTTCACAGACATGAGTTTGAAAAGGAGCAGAGCTGAGAGAAAAGGATGCTGTACAGTGGTGTAACCTTTCCCAGGCACACATTAGAGGCTGGCAGGAGGTTCCACAGTGGGGGTGTGCGTGCACGTGCGTGTGAACCTCTGTAAAATCATGGACACTTTCTCAGTAAACAGAAGTTTCCGTGCTTAGAACTAACAAATTATTTTCACCTTTTGTTAAGTTTGGAAAGTGATGTGCAGTAGTGGCATGGAAAGTTGTGACTTTTCTGAAGTGTTGCTTCATCTAGACACCCTGAAAATAGGTTTTAGGGAATTACACAGCCTTTCAAATGTGGAAGTGGTGGAAATGCGTAAAGGTGAGGCCTCTAGATATCATTTCTTGGCTTGTTGGTGTTCTTGTTTCTCATGTAAAAATGGAGTCTGAAGTGTTTCTTTCATTTGCAGCATTTGGCCCTGGCTGATTTCTCTTCTAAATAGTTTCCACCCCCAGGAGGAGGACCTCTCCAGCACTAATGGTAAGGGCCGCCGCCCCGCTGTTGACTGCTCCCCGTCCCTGGTGCTGGATGCAAGCCCAGTGTTTGACCTGAAACGCAGCGTGTCAGGAGTGACTTTATATATGGTCAGTGGGTTAGAGACAATGTTCTCTTGGCAGCCTTCCCTCTGTTGGGCTACATCGCAGTAGGAATCTAGCGAGTGCAATTCCTGAAAATCCTCCCAGTTTCTTCCCTTCCCCTCCATTGCTACTTTTTTTTTTAAAAGGAGTGAATATGAATGACATGGAGAGCACGCAGGGTCCATGGCGCTGTTCGCTGTGCATCTTCTTCAGACATGTTCTTTGCTTGCAGACACATACGAGATGATTAGTGTCACATACGGCTTCGCATCTGCTTTTTGTAGATTCAGCATGATGTCAGCATTTGATTTTCATTCAGCATTTGAAAGCGTGGTTTTTACTGGCCTTGTATACACTCCATCCTCTGAACGTGCCGAATTCTGACCTGCCACCTTCCGTTGCTTTAGAAGCTTCGTGATCGTGCCTAGCGCTCCCTTAACAAGCCGCGGCGCCGCTGCTCCCTGGTTCTGGCCTTGGAGCCCGCTGCTCCCGTGGCCGCAGTGGGACTCGCAGCTTGAGCGTCGTGCACTTCCTGCAGGCTCCGTGGCGGCGCAGGGGCAGTTCCCACAGCTGCTGATCAGCACCAGGCTTCAGAGTCGGCCAGTGGATGCGTGGTCTCACTCACATGGGGGGACAGACTAGATCTATGAGAGAGACCAGTTAACGTCATCAGTACTGCCTGTGCACATGCAACCTCGGAGCGACCCTTGTAGCCGCCAGGTAGCATAGAAGGCCCCATTGGAACCGGTGCCCGGCCTCGTGCAGGCTCAGTGTTCGGGACGGAGTCCACTGAGCCAGTGCTGGCGGGAGTAAAGCTGCTTCCTGCTCAGAGCGCTGGCGGTGTCCTTGCTCGAGGATCCCACAGCACTCCAGGGTGTGGGTGCTGGATCACCGGGTCTGCGGCTGTGGGCTTGTGAGACTGCTGGTTAAAAAGCATCGTCCCCAGCTTCCTGGCGCTGGGAGGCGGGCGAGTGCCGGGACGCCCAGGTAGCCTGCCAGGTTTGGGTAGGCGAGCTGTCTGCACTAGGGTTCTTGTGAAGAGCGGAGAAAGCTAGGCTGAGCGTGCTGCGCCCTTGGGTTTCCTGTGGAGTGAGAAGGGCTCTGCCGAACGTGTTCACAGTTCTGCTTCCACCCTGTTTAGCTACTCCACTTCCAGAGGAGTTTGAGCTTCAAGGATTTTTGGCCTTGAGACCTTCTTTCAGGTGAGTGTATGTGTCTCATTTGCATAACAGCAGATGGATTTGTGTGTGCCTTGCCTTCCATTTTAATGCTGAATGCTTTTAAAATACACAGAAAAGGAATGAAAAAGAAAACTGCTTCTGCTCAGTGGTAGTTGTCTCACTGGATGCCACCTGGGACACCTCTCAAGGCTGAGCCAGGCCCAAGGCGCCCTTGATGTTCCTCGTGTCGGCAGTCGGTGTCCCGTGTCCTCGGTCCCCTCCTGCCCTTTCTTCGCAAAGCCCTGTCCCAAGCTGGGTGATGCTGCCTCGTGCTGTCCTGCTCACGCTCTCCTGTCCCGTGTGCCCTCGGTACAGCTCCTCCCCAGGGATCTCTCCTTGCCCTTCCTTCCCACTGGGGTCGGTCCACTCGCTGTCCGGCGCTTCCATCTTTGGGGTAGTAAGTTCCCAACTTTCAGGTCTGACTGATCTTAGAGTTGGGACCAAGACCGTCAGATCTCCCTTGTGCCTTTGGAACTTTACGGTCAGCCAGACCGAACCTGCACTCTATTTGCTCAGCAAAAAACATTCTTTGTGCACTTCTCACTTGTGCTTCTGGCATTATTCACCTAAGTGACCTAGCTAGAATTCTGAAAAGCTCTTACTTCTGTTAGCCTTTTGCATCAAATCTGTGTGATTCTGTGTCCAAAATGCCTCTCCGAAGTAACCTCTTGCCAGGTACACAGGCTTCTGGCGCTGTCCACCCGGAGTGTAGACAGCCCTCCCTTTGTAGAGTTCTCTGTCCCTGGAATCCAGCCCTACACCTTCCTTGATTTATAGTACATACACATTTTAAAGACTTGCTTATTGGAAAGGCTGTGAGAGAGAGCAAGCGAGCTCCCATCTACGGTGCTGACTGCAGTGTACTGCAGTGTACCGGGACTGAGCCAGGCTGAAGCCAGGAGCCTGGAACTCCATCTGGGTCTCCCGTGTGGGTGGCAGGGTCCAGGCACAAACACAGAACTGAAGATTGAGGGTGGCTGTTTGACAGTAAGTAGAAAGTGGCCTGTAATGATGAGGTTTCCTCACCCCTCCAGCAGAGGACACCCTCCTGTGGCTTCCTGGCTGCTTCCCCAGTGTGGACCTGCTGGCAGCCTGCTTTGTGCCGTGCTGTAAAGACCTTGTTCCTTGCTCCCGCTGCCGCTGGGGCTCGGCGGGCGTCAGAGAGCAGCAGCCTGGCTGGCAACTCTGAAACCTTTATTTATTTATTTTTTTAATTTAACTTGGAGAAATTTGAAAAATTCTTTCTTCACATTGAGTTTTTATAGTTGATACATTTTTTTCTGATCTGGAATGGGCCTCTTTAAAGTGGCTGGACTGATAACTGTTAGACCCCCCCCCCCCCTGCCCCCAGGACCCTTAGTATTACTGTGCATGTTTCATGCACATTACTTAGGAGGCAAGCACAGTAAACTTACTGCTTGGAATGGTAGGAGAATCTCTCCTAGTAAAAGTTTGACTTATTTGAACTCCTCATTCCATGTATTGTAAATAAAAATTTTTTACCAAAATGAAGCTGGACTTTGCAGTTCGTGTTTTTCCATGAAGTTTTTGGGTCAGACGCATAAAATTAATTATTTCAAGGTAGCCAATACCCGAAGCCATTGTGTTTAATTGTATAACCTTGGATTGCCTGGACAATAATTTTCTGATTGGGATTTCAGGAACTTGGATTTCTCCAAAGGCCACCAGGGTCTCACCGGAGACAAAGAGGGGCAGCAGCAGCGGGTACGGCAGCAGCGCTTGATCTCCATAGGCAAGTGGATTGCCGACAATCAGCCCAGGTGCGTCCGTGGGCTTCTGTCTGGCGCGCTTCAGCCACCTGGTGGCTCACACACACCCCTCTCCCTGTGTAAGTGCTGTCGGCCGTCAACTCTTCATTCGGAATGCTGGCAGACTGGTGGTCCTGAGTGTATGAAGGGGTGGGCACCTAGCACAGCAGTGAAGGTGCCACTTGGGGCCACATCTCGCATCCAGAGTGCCTGGCGGAGCTCAGCAGTGGCATGGTGGGCTGGGCCAGCACTTAACCGCAAGTGTGCCATGTCAGGGTGCTGGCTCGAGTCCCAGCTGCACTGCTGCTGATCCAGCTCCCTGCCAGTGAGCCTGGGAGGGCAGTGGATGACAGCTCAGGCCCCTGGGCCCCTGCCATCCACATGGAGTCAAGGCTCTTGGTTTCCGCTTGGCCCAGCCCTGGCTGTTGAGGTCGTTTGAGGGGTTACCCAAGGATGGAGGTTCTGTCTCTTTCTCTCTTCCTGTCACTGTGGCTAAATAAATCTTTAGAAAGTGCTTGGGATCAGCTCTCAGCTGTGTTCTCAGTTCTAGCTTCTTGCTAATATGTACCCTGCAAGGTAGCAAGTGACTCAAATGCGTGGGTCCCTGCCACCAGCACAGAAGACCCGATCGAGTCCGGGCCCCTGGCTTTGGCCTGGCCTAGCCCTTCCTGTTGGCAAGCATTCGGGGAGTAAATCAGTGGTTGGGAGATCTTGCTCTCTAATCTCTGTCTCTTTTTTTCTCTGCCTTCCAAATAAAATGAAACTTAAAAAAAAAGTTCAGAAAAACTTTTAAGATTTATTTACTTATTTGAAAGTTAGAGTTATAGAGAGGACAGACAGAAAGCATCCGCTGGTTCATTCCCCAAATGGCCGCAGCAGCTGGGGCTAGGCCAGGCGGAAGCAGAGAGCTGGATCTGAAACGGAGCTGCCGCGACTTGAACCGGCACCCAAACGGGATGCCGGCACTGCAGGCCATGGCCTAACCCGCTGCTCCACAGCACTGGCCCCAGAAAACGGATTTTTAAAGGTAAGCTTATTTTGGTGCAAAAAATTGTTTGTGAAATCCACGCATACGAGTGGTCTTTGAAAATTTTATGGAAAATGTCAGTCATGAGAAAACAGCGCATGGATTTTAGACGTTTTCAGTGTCTAAATTTTTAAATTCCGTTTCTCCATGAGCTGTTGAGGCACCTTCTGCTCTGAAGTCTCCCCGCTGAGCCGCCTGTCACAGAGGAGCTGTCGTGTCTCCCCGGTTCCCCGGGGCTGCTGCTCCGGTTCTGTGAGCGGCTTCGCAGGAGGCAGCTTTCCCTGCTTTGGCATTTTCCCTCTTGGGAAGGAGCTCCTTTTGGGAGCTTCACAGCTCAGGATCACCTGGCCCTGTAGTTTGATGGAGACTGGCCAAGGCCAGGTGGATGTGCAGGAGCAGTCCCACGGTGAGCCAGGAGGCAGGAAGAGAGAATCGCAGCTGGAACTTGGCTTAAATAACCAAGCCTCTCCTGAGGGCAGCCCCCAGAGGCCTCAGACCTCCCTCCAGGCCCACCTCGCCGGGGCCCCTTCTGCATGCTGCTCTTGGGCCATTCGTGAGCCCCGCTGTTCACTCGGATCCTGGGGTGTGCACTTCTCGTGCGTTGCAGAGCCTTGTGCTGGCCAGTCCACAACAAGCTCTGTGGATCCGGCTGCAGTGTAACTGCAGCCGTGGGGTCTTCCCAAGAAGGTGAGGGTGTGGGCTCCGTTTCTGTCGGGACAGACCAGGCAGTGACCGACGTGGCAGAGGGTGTTGTAGACAGAACGTGGCCGTTGCCAGGCTTCCAGTTCTGTGACTCTCAGACAGGCGCTGTGGGATTTGGTGTGCAGGTTCCCGTTACACTGTAAACACACAGGCTTTGGGTGGACGCATCACCTAGAACACAGGTGTGGTACGTGGCTCCCGGGACACATCAAGGGCCTGGATGAGGTGCCCGTGCTGGAAACACGTCTGATCAAGGGAGCCATGCCAGGGAGCACGCAGCAGCCGGGGGATCAGTGCCAGGGAGCATGCGCGGGGCTCCACAGGACTGCTTCACGCTGCTGGAGTCGCTCTGCGCGGTGGCGGTGGCGCCGCCATAGTTTCCAGGGCTAGGACTGTAGCAGATTGTGGGCTCCATACACAGTTCTTTGTTTCTGTTTTTTATTACATTCTTAATATATGGATTTGTTTTTCCTTTTTTAGGCTGATTCAGTGTGAAAATGAGGTAGGGAAATTGTTGTTTATCACAGAAATCCCAGAGTTAATACTGGAGGATCCCAGTGAAGCCAAAGAGAACCTCATTGTGCAAGACACGTCCGTGGTAGAGGCGTTGGCTGCCGACGGGAGCCCAGGGCTGAAATCAATGCTGTCTACAGGCCGTGGTGACGCGGGAGAGAAACCAGCGGTCACCTTCAAAGAGAGCGCGAAGCCACGAGAAGTGACCAGAGACCCAGGCAGAAGTTTCCCTCCCAAAGAGGTGAGCAGGGGCCGTAGCAGAGGAGCCGCAGCCGAGAGTGAAGGCACAGAGGAGGGCCGCGAGAGGGCCGCGGGCAGCGAGCCCTGCCCCTTGGGGACACTGCGGCGACGGGGGCAGTGGGGCCCAGCAGCTCCCGGCTGGACGGTGAGGCAGGTAGAGGACGGCTCCGGCGAGGCGGGGCTTTCCTGTTGCTCCTGCAGCCTCGGGAGTGAAGGACCGCCCGTCTCCACCTGAGGGCGCGTCTGTTGGTCTGTCCAGCCAGCGTGGCCTGAGCTGACCACCTGCAGAGGGTGCTTCCTTGGGTGTCAGCAGTGGTACAGCGGAGATGTGGGTCACTGACAGATCCAGAACCGAGAGTGCATCAGGCTGAAGCGGGTTCTCCCCGCCGAGCACTTTGTCCTGACGTCGGTTCCTGCCCCAGCCAGGGCGGTTTATCACTGTGCTGTCATCCTGGCTCACAGCCTGGTCTCCACTAGGAGGCGGTGCACACGCCCAGTCATCTGTGACCTTGCGTGTTACTTTCCTAAGAGGTACAGGTGAGTTCACCCTGGCGGGATCAGGAGCTTTGCTCATGCTGGCTCTGTTGACGCCATGCTCGGATGGCCACGTGGTTGTGAACACATGCTGGCACATGTGTGTGTGAAGGCTGCTTACAAACAACGCCTTACTGCGTTTCCCTAACAGGTTTTTTTTTTTTTTAAGGAGAAGAAAATAATAATTCAGGTTTTTTCTTTTTAATTAATTTATTTGAAAGGCAGAGTGACACAGAGAGTCAGAGAGAGTCTTCCATCCTCTGGTTCATGCCTCAGATGGCCGCAACGGCCAGAGCTGTGCCGATCTGAAGCCAGGAGCTTCTTCTGGGTCTCCCACACAGCTACAAGGGCGCAAGCGCTTGGGCCATCTTCTGCTGCTTTCCCAGGTCGTAGCAGAGAGCTGGAAGGAAGCGGAGCAGCTGGGACTTGGGCTGGTGCCCACATGGGATGTCAGCACTGCAGGTGGCAGCTTTACGTGCTGTGCCGCAGCGCCGGCCCTAGTAGTGGAGTTTTAAGGTTAACAGTAGGGAGAGAAGAGTATAGCGGAAACTGAGAGGAGGCTGAGGCAGTAGGGAAAGGAAGAGCACAGGAAGTTGGCTAGAAAGCCACGGGACACGGATGAAGGTGGCGGCGTTGCCTGCCCGTCGCTTGCTCTCTGTAACTGCGGTCCAGACTGGGAATGAGCTCCGCTTCTCAGCCCCTCCTCCCGCTCCGTCTGCCTGCAGGTGGTTGGAGGAACCCTGAGGAAGTCTCTTCTCCAGTGGGCTGTCCCCGGCCCGCGCCCTCGCTGTTTCAGCACCGGGCAGGTCCGTGGCGGGGTCTGGGGCCTGCTGCTTCCTGCTGAAGTTGGCCTCTGTTCTCAGCAGCAGGGTTCAGGGGGCCACCCAGAGGAAGTCAGCGGGCTGCCGAGTTCCTCACTCGAGGCTGCGCGTCGTTGCTCATGCTCAGTTGGCGTGTGCTGGCTCGTGACTCAGAGTGTGCAGAGCCCTGGGCCTCTGAACAGCAAGCGCGCTGTCCCGGGCCGTCTGTGGCCTGCTGGCATCAGGTGTCCCGTCGTGAAACAGTGGGCTCTGAGGTCCTGGCCACACTTAGTGTTCTTGCCATCGTGTGTAAACAGAATTGTGTTACTAAACTAAACCCTTATCTTCCTTAATTTTTCTGTTTTTGACCTGGTAGATTTGAATTTCTCCACTGTGAGCTTTGTGGATCGTGAAGTGTTAGAGCGCTTTCTTGGGAAGAGACGTGCTTGGTGACATGTTCGCGCCTCAGGCGTTTATAGATGACTTTGCTGCTCTTGCTCACAGGCGAAATCCCAGACAGAGCTGAGAAAGACCCCCGTGTCTGAAGCCAGGAAGACCCCTGTCACGCAGACCCCGAGCCAAGCCAGCACCTCCCAGTTCATCCCCATTCACCACCCTGGAGCCTTCCCCCCCCTCCCCAGCCGGCCAGGTAAAGAGGTGTTCTGTGGTGACTCGGTGCAGGAGTGCTCTGCCTTCACACGCGACGTGCACGCCATGTGTGCCATCAGTCAGCCGGGACATTAGAGAGGAGAGGGGCTGGCTCCCCCGGTGCTTAGCTCGTTAGGTGGGGAGTTGCTGTCACTCAGGACCCGACAGGACACTCAGAACACACTGACTGCTTCCGGAGATAGAAGGGGATCGCTGAGGGGGACAGAGTGGCCGATCTGTTACCTTAGAACTGTTAGAAGCCCTGCCCTTCCCAGGATAACTGTGTGTGTGTGTGTGTTGCCTTTTCGTGTTGTTCTAGAACTAACGCCGTGTTCTTCTATTTTGAAGGGTTCCCGCCCCCAACATACGTTATCCCCCCTCCTGTGGCATTCTCTGTGGGCTCAGGTTACACCTTCCCAGCTGGTGTTTCTGTCCCAGGAACCTTTCTGCAGTCTGCAGCTCACGCTCCAGCAGGAAGCCAGGTGCAAGCTGGGAAACAGTCCCACATTCCTTACAGCCAGCAGCGGCCCTCGGGACCAGGGCCAGTGAGCCAGGGACCTCAGCAGGCACAGCCGCCTTGCCAGCAGCCCCTTGCGTCTCTACCAGCTCAGCCAGCAGCACAGCCCACAAGCCAGGTGCAGGTTCCAGCCCCAGCTCCGCCGCAGCAGTCCCCCACAAAGGCCGGGCCGGCTCTGGGGAAGAGCTCGCCTCCCCACTCGGGATTCCAGCAGGTGAGTGGGGCCCTGCCTGGACGAGCAGTGACCGTGGGCACCCAGGAGCGGTCTGCACCCTGTGGGAACATTGCAGGGTCCCTTGTTTTCACCAGTGGGCAGTGTGCTCGACCCCCACTGCCAGCCTTTGCCACCGGTGGTCAGCATTCTGGGAATGACCACAGCAGGCAAACGGGCCGAGACGGATGTGGCACCGATTTCAGTTGCTGTCACCCGCAGCACTTGAAGCAGAGGGGGACTGTCTCACACGCAGCTGTTACCACGAGAGGGAGTGCAGTGTGGTGTCTGCCCTGGGCTCTGTGCTGAAGAGCCAGGCGGCTGGAGCGTCTGACGAGCTGTGGCCCTGGCGTCAGACCCTGGGTTCATCCTGAGATTGCTGTGTGCTGGTTCTAGGTGATGATGCCTTCTTACGTCCGTCTCTGTTTTTCAGTATCAACAGGCAGATGCCTCCAAACAGCTGTGGAATCCCCCTCAGGTGCAAGGCCCTTTAGGGAAAATCCTGCCCGTGAAACAGCCCTGCTACCTTCAGACCCAAGACCCCGTGAAGCTCTTTGAGCCGTCATTGCAACCTCCAGTGATGCAGCAGCCGCCTCTTGAGAAAAAAATGAAGCCTTTCCCCCTGGAGCCATATAACCACAGCCCCTCAGAAGTCAAAGTCCCGGAGCTCTACTGGGACTCCGCCTACAGCGTGGCAGACAGCCGCGCCGTCATGCCACAGCCAGCAAACGTGGACCGCAGGGGCAAGCGGCCACCCGGAGTCTTCCGTCCAGAGCAGGATCCCGTGCCCAGGATGCCGTTCGAGGTGTGTGTCCTTTCTGTCCCTCCCCAGGCACCTGAAGATGGGTCCGCTAGTGTCACACAGATCGGCCATCCGTGACTGCTCGGGCGCAGGGTCGTCCTGAGCAGTGCAGGAGGCCCCCTCCAGCTGCCGGGAGCTCGCCTGGGCTGGCGAGGAGTCTGGAGAAAGCTCTCGCCAGCCTGGAGGGTGCGCGGCTCCTCCGAGTCGGGCTGACTCACCTAAGTCTGAAAACGGTTCACTGAGGATTTAGTTGGTTTCCGAAAGGAACAAAGCCGGCGTCTTAGTGCAGTTCCCTCTCCTCGCCCTTCTTATTCCCGGGAACCGGGCGTCTGCTGGTAGTTGTGCAGCGGATCCGTTTCTCTGTCTTTAGCTCCCTTGTGTCTCGGGGTCTGCCCTGTCGGGGTCTCGCTGCTTCGTTGTCTTGCCTGCACCTGCATTCTGGAGCTCCGCCCTCTTGTAGCACCCGACTGCCGGTCGCTCACTCCCCTCCCTTGCCCGTGGTTGCCTTGTCCACCTCCCTCGTCGTGCCGCCCCCTGCAGCCCCCTGCAGCCCCCCGGTCTCACGTGGTCCTCTCTGCCACTAGGACCCCAAGGGCTCCCCTCTGCTCCCCCCGGACCTGTTACAGAGCCTGGCTGCCCTAGAGGACGAGGAGGAGCTCATCTTTTCCAACCCTCCCGACCTTTGCCCAGCCCTTCTGGGGCCTCTCGCCTCTCTCCCCGGACGGAGCCTCTTTGTATGTATTCGACTTAATTCTGCTTCCTGCCCTAACCCCCGCTGCTTTCTGGAGTTGTGTAGCACAGTTGATAGGTGATTCCCCGGTATGCAGTAGAAGGCGTGACTCCTGGGAAGGAGGTGGCTGCCCGTGTCGGACTCTGTAGTTCCCCGTCAGAGCATCACAGCTCGGCTCCCTGGGGCCCAGAAGCCCCCACGGGGGGTGTGCGGGCCCGGGGAGCTGCTGGCAGTGACGGCCTCGCGGGGCCTCCTGGGCCAGCCTCTCAGATGTGCTTTGTCTTGCTTAGGGACACTGAGGGTTTTTTTTTCCTCAGTTGTTTTCAAAACATGAAAAGGAATTTGTTCTAGATTCTTTGACTGACGTCATTAAGTAGGCGAGCTGAACGGAGGAGTCCTGATGTGAATTCCGAGTTGGGCTCATAGCAGAGTAGCTGAAGACAGATGCCTTGTGTTTGTAAACACTGCAGCTGCAGAAGAGGGCGGGGGGGGGGGGGCAGAAATGCACTCCCGGAGCGGAGGAGGGTGCCGGAACACGCCCCTCGGGTCTGCAGGGAGGAGGGCACGTGCTGTGCTGCCCCCGCCCCGGAGTGAACAGAGACCTCTTCGTTGTACGTTTTTGCTGTTTCTTTCCCACAAACACGGGGCAAGAAAACACTTGTAAGATTAAAATGTTAATTTTAGTGTCAGGAGAAGTAAAAACTGCACTTTGATGGCAGCCCTGGCACTCGAGGGCCCCTGAGAGTTTGCCAGATGAGTGGCGGTGGAGGCCCCTCCCCGTAGCAGCGTGAAAGACCTGAGAGCTGCGCGCAGTCCTGCCGCTGGCCAGGCTGGGGCGCTGTCCCCTTCCTGGAGCTGGTGGTGGAAAGCGCCAGCCACTCGGTGGCAGTGAATGATAGACGTCAGCTTTTTCCCCTAATAAATGGGAGTTGGAGCGGAGCAGCTGTTCAGTATGGACTGCAGCCAGCAGTGCGTGGGGAGCGGGCTACAGAGCCAGCGGGCGTGGATTTGGGAGGCTTGCTCGGTCACCAGTTTGAGGGTTTGAAGCACTTCGGGGGGGGGGGGGGGGGACAGTGCCGAACAGTTCAGCCTCTTCGTCAGAGATGGTGTACAGTGCAGCTGCTGACAAGGGGCTCCTGAGGTTCCTGCCTAGCGAACCCTCGGGGTGCTGCTCCCCGGGGCCCGGCCCTGCCGCCCCCCACCCTCCCGGCAGCCGGCACTGGCCTGGTGTCGCGGCGTTAGCCAGTGTGCGTCCGCCGCTCAGCCTCGCCTCGTACGCTCTGGCAGGGCCGAGCGTGCTGGCGGTCACCTTGTCCGTGTGTGGTCACTCGGGATACTGAGCAAATGCAAGGCCTGACGACAATGCCTTTCTTTCCGGACTGAAGAAATCCTTGTTGGAGAAGCCGTCGGAGCTCATGTCGCACTCGTCCTCCTTCCTGTCTCTCACCGGCTTCTCCCTCAGTCAGGTGGGTGAAGGGCTGGGCGGCACCTGTGTGGCTCCGCCTTCTCTTCTGTGTTGGATGTCTGCCAGGAGTTTGAGTTTGTCCTGTCTGTCTCTGCAGCAGGCGAGTGACTGGTACACTCGAGTTTGAACCCTCTGACGTCTCATTGATGTCGAAATCCTTTGGGCTGTGTTGTTCAGCAGATAAATGATTCGCGCTTTCTAAGCTGAGTGGTTATTACATGGAGAAAAGGCAGAGGGGAGATAGTGTGGAAGAGACAAGAAAAGCTGTTGCAAGTGTGTCTGGCCGGGCAGAGCGGCAGGCGTGAGGGCTCGTCGCCTGGGTCTCCGGGGTGGTGTGACCAGACTCTGTCTTCCAGGACAGGCACCCGAGCAGCAGTGTGTTCAGCGAGGTGTACGGGAAGAACCTGGCGGCTGGCTCCAAAGCAGAGCTGAGCCCCGCCCTGGCCCCCCAGGAAACGTCACTGTACTCCCTGTTCGAAGGGACCCCGTGGTCTCCGCCACTTCCTGCCAGTTCAGGTACTCAGTCCTCCGTAAGGGACGGGCCTGCCTTCCCTGTGCGCGTCAGCGCTGGACTTGGTGGAGTCTGTGGTCGCGAGCGGAGGCGGCCAGCTGACTCCTGGCACAGGGGCCCGGCCGGCGGCCGCGGGTGAGAGGAGGGCGCGGGCTGGGGGGCTGTGCCCTGGTGGCCTTGGTCGTGGGGGTTCATTCCTTGCACTGAAAGTTGTACGTTTTAAAGGGGGTTTGAATCTCAGTTGTGGAAGTAGTCTGATTTAATAGTGATTCTTAAGGTTAGGAAGCTGTTTCTGACGGAGAAGACTAATGGCGTCCTTATCGACAGGCCAGAGTAACGAGTGCTCTGTTCTCTGTTGCTTTTTGAGGCAAGGATTACGTACAGAACGACCAGGGTGCATGTGGAAGAGTCCCTCCTGGGACCCTGCTGGTCATTCTTCCAGAGCTCTGGCCGGGAGGGCTTCGTCAGGCGTGGAGGGATCGGGGTGCTGGGAAGCCTCGCTGGTTCAGTGCCCTGTGTTGCTGTCACTCACTAGATCACTCGACACCAGCCAGCCAGTCTCCTCATTCCTCCAACCCGAGCAGCCTGCCCAGCTCTCCTCCAACACACAACCATAACTCCGTCCCCTTCTCCAATTTTGGACCCATTGGGACTCCAGATAACAGGGACAGGAGGACTGGAGACCGGTGGAAAACGGACAAGCCAGGTGAGGTCTAGACGCCGCCGTTGCGCACGGTGCTGGCGCCCCAGCCCCGCCCCATGGCAGCGCCTCGCTGACTCCTCCTCCCTCTCCTCCGGCAGCCATGGGTGGGTTTGGCATCGATTACCTCTCGGCAGCGCCATCCTCTGAGAGCAGCTGGCGTCAGGCGGGCACGCCCGCCAGCACCTGGGCGGGCCACGGCCCCTCCGTGGAGGACTCCTCTGCTGTCCTCATGGAAAGCCTGAAGGTGAGTGAGCGGATTGCGGAGCGGGACCCGCGGGACGCGCCAGCACAGCCCACGTGTGGGACCAAGCACCAGGCTTTCGGGTTCGTGCTAGGAAGACAGGAAGTTGTGGCTGCCGTGAGAACCACGTGAGGGCAGTGGCTGGGCACCACGTGGAGCTGGGTCTAGGCGCAGGTCCCGCGGGGCACAGCCTCTCACCTCTGGAGTAACTCCCGGGAGGGCCGCAGGGACATGCTCCAGCAGCCGGGCGGGGGCGGGGACGGGGACAGAGCAGGGGGCCAGGCCCTCCCACCGCAGGCGCTGGCCGCTGACGGCTTGGGGGGGGCGGGGACAGAGCAGGGGGCCAGGCCCTCCCCGCCGCAGGCGCTGGCCGCTGACGGCTTGGGGGGGGCAGGGACAGAGCAGGGGGCCAGGCCCTCCCCGCCGCAGGCGCTGGCCGCTGCCGGTTTGGGGGGGGCAGAGCAGGGGGCCAGGCCCTCCCCGCCGCAGGCGCTGGCCGCTGATGGCTTGGGGGGGGCAGAGCAGGGGGCCAGGCCCTCCCCACCGCAGGCGCTGGCCGCTGCCGGTTTGGGGGGGGCAGAGCAGGGGGCCAGGCCCTCCCCGCCGCAGGCGCTGGCCGCTGCCGGTTTGGGGGGGGCAGAGCAGGGGGCCAGGCCCTCCCCGCCGCAGGCGCTGGCCGCTGATGGCTTGGGGGGGGCAGAGCAGGGGGCCAGGCCCTCCCCGCCGCAGGCGCTGGCCGCTGCCGGTTTGGGGGGGGCAGAGCAGGGGGCCAGGCCCTCCCCGCCGCAGGCGCTGGCCGCTGATGGCTTGGGGGGGGCAGAGCAGGGGGCCAGGCCCTCCCCACTGCAGGCGCTGGCCGCTGACGGCTTGGGGGGGGCAGAGCAGGGGGCCAGGCCCTCCCCACTGCAGGCGCTGGCCGCTGCCGGCTTGGGGGGCGGGGCGGAGCAGGGGGCCAGGCCCTCCCCGCCGCAGGCGCTGGCTGCTGACGGCTTAGGGGGGGCGGGGCGGAGCAGGGGGCCAGGCCCTCCCCGCCGCAGGCGCTGGCCGCTGCCGGCTTGGGGGACGGGGCGGAGCAGGGGCCCGAGCACTGACGGCCCGGCTGTCTGCAGTCCATCTGGTCCAGCTCCATGACGCGCCCTGGACCGTCCGCGCTGGAGCAGCTCTTGATGCAGCAGCAGCAGCAGCAGCGGGGCCGAGGCGCCCTGAACCCTCCACACTGAGGCCCGAGCGCAGCCTGCGCATGGAGGCTCCGCGAAGCCGGCCTGCCAGGCTCGCAGGCCTGGCGCTCAGCCCGGCGGTGGCAGCCCTCTGCCGTTCCTTGCTGTCGAGGGTGTAAGTGTCCCACCAGCCCGCTGAGTGTGCACGGAATGTCCGCAGTGCAACGGAAAGAAAACCCACCGGGAACTCTCCGTCCCCGGGGCCCCGTTGGTCCCGCTCGGTCTCGGATGGCACCGCCGCTCACCTCCGTCACGCACGTCCCCAGCCACGTGGGAAGTGGAAGCTGAGAAGCGAGGGCAGATGGGAGAAGCCGCGGGAACTTCTCAGTGCTTTCTCCTCTTGGGGAATAAAGCGGGAGTCCACTCACGGTTGCTTTGCTGACAGAGTAGTGGACATCGCTCCCAGCCATCCTGGCTGCTGTCGCTGCTCTCGGCAGTGACGCCACACTGACGTGCTGCGGGTCAGCGGGTGACAAGGAGCCCCGTCCCTCACTGCCCTGTGGGAGGCGGGTGGCGACAGGGTGAGCCCGGCCTCTTCAGCCAGTGGCAGTGTCCGCAAGGGACAGCGCGAGGCCTCGGGTGGTCCGGCCGGCCCTGCACTGGCCCGGGGCCCCAGCAGAACGTGGGGGCGTGACCCCGGCGAGGACGCGCAGGGGCGGTGGTGCTGGGCCGGACTGGCAGCCGACGTCTTCCCGGCTGCACCCACGGCGGGCAGCATACGGGCCCACGGGAGGCCGCCAGTCCGCTCCGGGCGGGGAGAGGCGTTCAGCATGGCTGTCGTTTGGTTGGATGATTTCTGTGCCCCGACTGCCCGGTTGCCCCTCCCTGCCCTGTGCTGTGTGCTACTAACTGTCTCTGTTCCCAACGTGCGCGACGACTGGCCGAGCGACAGCAGCGTGGGCTCCGGCGCGGGGCCCGGAGGCGGCCGAAGACGAGGGCGCCCGCCTGAGCGTGGTCTCGGAGGCGGCACGGACACGCGCCCGGCGGCGCAGAGCAAGCGGAATGGGGACAGCGGGAGATGGACTTTGACTTTGCTATTTATTAGGCGCGAGGACCCAGTGCGCTTGCGCAGGCGGCGCCCGTCCTTCCTGAGGGGTCCGAGGGGAATTAGGGAAACGATGGAAATGTCCACTGCTGTGCTGGTGACGGGGCCCCGTGTGCGAGGGCGCAGCTGGGGGCCCTGGCCGTGCGGGGGGAGGGCACGCTCGTCTCTCAGGGGGTTGGAGTCCCGGACGCTTCTATTACTGCTTCCGTTTGCCGTGGTGTTTGGGGTTTTGTTTTGTTTTTGTTTTTTTGGCAAGGCCTGAAAGGGTGAAGCCCCCACCCAGTGGCACCCTGCGCCCCTTTGTGCTTCTCCCAGCCTCCTGCCCGGCCCTGCCCGGCGTGCACGCGCTGTGTGGCAGGCGGCTGCGGCACGCTGGTGCAGGAGCTGGCACCGAGCTCCCCCCCCCGGCCCCCTGTGCCAACTCGGGGCGCACGGCTTTGCCTTCGCTGTGGAGTGAGGGGGGAGCAGTCGGCCTCGGAAGCCGGCTTGTGTGGGAAACTGGGTGGGGGGGTTGGTTGGTTTGGGGGTTTTTGGGTTTGTTGGTTTTTTTTCTCGTCTGTCTGTGCAAGACCTGCAGCTGCTGGAATCAGCTTTGCCTTTAATTAAACCTGTTCTCTCCAGCCAGCCCTGTGTGACGCCATTTGTTTGCCGGCCCGAGGACGGGGAGCGGGAGCCGCGAGGGCAGGGCCTGAGGGCGCTGCAGGGAGCCCTGGCGCAGACCGGCGGCCGCAGGGGCGCACCGGCGGGCGTCCACGCAGAGTGGCCAGGGCCGGGGCGCTGAGAGTCGCCCGTCGCCGTCACACTGATAGGCGGCTCAGGGGGGCTCTCGCTTAGCCTGTGGGGCCCACTCAGCCCGGCTGTCCCATGTGCTGGGACGGTGTAGGGGAGGCTGGGGAATAGCTCTCCCCTCCCCAAGACGGCGGCCGTCAGCGTGCATCCCACGGGAGCCCGCCCGGCCGGCCTCTGCGAGTGTGGCTGCCGGGCTGCCTGGGGGCGCCTGCAGAGTCACGCAGCAGGAGCGCGCACGCCGAGCCCGTGGGCCTGGGCTCCTGCTGTGTGGTTTGTGGGGCTTTTGTGAGATTAGGACGTGCGGAGAGGAGCGCCGTGTGTGCGCCTACAGCTCAGCAGATGCTCACGGGAACCCTGGCGCCCGCCCGTGCCCGCAGGGGCCCCGCCCTCCCCGTGCCCCTGCACGTGCTCACATCAGGGAGGAGGGCGGTGTCTCGGAGGCCGACAGGGCTCCCTGGCCTGCGCCGGCGCTGGGCGTGCCCTGCAGCTGTGCGGGTGCGTGTTCTTCCACGAAGGCTCTGGGGAAGATGCCCGCCTGCCCCCTGCACTCGCCTTCCAGCCATTCTTCGTTCACTGTGAGGGGAGAGCGCGCCGCCGTGACCCGGAGCCCGTGGTCTCGGGAAGCGACAGGGACCCTGCCCGGGAGCGAGTTCCGAGAAGCCAGGGGAGGGATGAGCAGTGACTAGGGTTTCCTGAGACTCTGGGCAGCTTTGCCAGCAGAGCGGGGCGTGGCCGATAGAGCAGGGCGTGGCACGGAGGCCGAGTTGGAGCCACGGGTACTGTTCCTAAAAATGACTGCAGTGCCCTGCAGACCACACTGGAAGATGCGCACACGCTGACTCCGTAACGGGTGCGGGTGGTGTCCCACGCTGCCAGGACACAGCAGCCACTTGGTGGGGCAGCCCCCGAACCCAGCACCACACCATGCGCGCAGGGATGTCGCCTCAGGGCCGCTGCTGGCGGGGTCCCTGGCTGACCAGTCGCCGGCCCCCGTCTGCTGCTCGCTGTGCGGCCAGGGCCTGGAAACCTCTGTCCTGGCACCTGGCGTGTTTCAGGCAGGTTCGAGCCCGAGTCCATTTCAAGACGACGCCTGGCGACTGACGTGCCCTTGACAGTCTGAGAAGCCATCCCCTGGCTGTCCAGCATGGCGGCTGGGCTGAGCCACAGCCCCACCTGCTCCACAGGGGTGCGCCTGCTCGGGGCTCTCGTCCATGCCCTGGGGAGCGTTTCTGTTCCCACTGTCCCTACACGCACACTGCACGGCTCACTGCTCCGTGCACTGTTTAGCCCGCGTCTCCCTGTCTCCCTGTCCCTCGTGCGGGAAGACACCACGCCGCACCTGCACCGCCTCTGTCAGCGGCTTGTGTTCTGAGCCACACACTTGCATACTCTCCACCCCGTTAAGTTCACAACCTGCTCACTTCTCAATCTGATAATCACAGTGTGTCCCTACTTTGTACTGCCAACACACGGTGCTGCAGCCCCGTGCAAGGCAGAGACCACAGGGCCGGTGTCGTGGCGGAGCAGCTCACGTCCTGGCTGCTTGGCCTCACCAGAAGATGGGACAGGTGGGTGAAGCTCCTGGCTCCTGGTTTCAGCCTGGCCGGGAAGTGAGCCAGGTGGAGGTGGCTAGGACTGACACCGGGAGTTAGAGCAGTCAGCAGCACCGCAGACAGCAGGGTCCCCGGGGGCGGTGCGGGCTGTGCGCTTACGCTCCCAAGGCTGGAGAGGCCCTGGCGTTGGGGCTCCCCCAGGGTTTCTACCGTGCTGGTTCCCGACAGAAAGGGGCGCAGCTGAGCAGAGCGTGCAGTGCGGTGCGAGAACTGGCCGCGGGGGGCCCTGCCTGCTAGGAATGAGAGCCCAGTGCGCTCTGCTGCCCACCCAGGAGCTGGGGAGCGGGCGGAACCGGCGGCCACGACCCCCTCTGCCCACCCAGGAGCTGGGGAGCAGCTGGAACCGGCGGCCGCGACCCCCTCTGCCCACCCAGGAGCTGGGGAGCGGGCGGAACCGGCGGCCGCGACCCCCTCTGCCCACCCAGGAGCTGGGGAGCGGGCGGAACCGGCAGCCGCGGCCCCGCCGCTTACCCTCTGACAGCACCAGGACGACGTCCCCTTCCCGCAGCTCCAGGTCCTCCGGCTGGCTGGCCTCGTAACGGAAGCGAGCCACCACGTGGCTGCCTTCCCGGATCTTCGGCCCCGTGGTCCGGTCGTCAGCCTCGGAGAGCTCGCTCTCGTCGGGCTCCTCTGGAAAGCCTTGGTCACCCTGAAGTCAGCACAGAACCTGGTCTCCTGGCTGGGCCGTGAACACTGAGCACCGCTGGAGGGCGGGGCCGGGATGTCCCAGCAGCTCCTGGGACGCGAGCTCGCCGAGCCCGGGCGTGGCCAGTGCCTGCCGTGGACCTGCCTGGTCACCTTGAAATCCACGGAAGCCTTGTGGTCCCGAGCAAACAGGCGGAGTCAGCCACAGAGCCCCAAGCTGCTGAGCACTGAACCCGACACCCTCTCCCCAGCACCACGCTAGCGCCCGTTAGAAATGCACACTTGCGGCGCCATGACGGTGGCCCTGTCCGTGGTCGGCCTGGCGCCACACCATCCCCCCAGGGCCGCGAGAAGGCGGGGCTTCTGTTCCTGTACCAACACCTCTGGCACTCGTCGGGTGTTGGGGTGCCAGGCTTCCTGCACAGTCGTGGGAGCAGGGACCAGGAAGGAGAGGGCGTCCACCCCGTGGCCTCTGAGGGCGCCCCCTTGTGGCGGTGTCAGCGTGGCGGCGAGTGCTCCCTCTAGGGAGACCTTCCACCCCGCCCGCTCCTCACTCCCGTTCTCTGGGCGGCTGCAGGGCCTGGGGTGGCTGTGGCCGTGGGCGTGGCCGGGCCAGGCTGCTGCCAGCGCTGTGACCTTGGGAGAAGGTCAAGCTGCTTGGCCTCTGCCGTGTGTCTGGGTGGCAGCACCCAGCTACGGCGTCGCCGGGACCCTGAGAGGGCACACGGGCGCACCGAGCACAGCCTCACCCCCGGAGGTCACCCTCACGGGGACGGCCCCTGCAGGCTTCCAGTGAAGGGTGGCTGTGGGGCGCCTGCGGGTGACAGGCGGTGGCCACACGGCACTCACCACTGAGTTCTCACACCACAGGGTCAGGCAGCTGCCGTCCACGTGGCTCCAGGCGTCTGCCATGCTGGCCTCCGACAGGGGCGCCAGCTCGGGGCCGGCCCGAGGCCGGTAGCTGCGGGGACAGAGTGGGCCCCGGGTGAGAGGAGCCTGTGCCCCGTGTCCCCCAGGCCCCCAGCACCCTTGCATCGCCCATGCCGCCCCCACATGTCTGCACGCCGCCTCCGTGTCCCCCCCCCCAGCCGCACCTCAGCTTCGTGTGTTCCGGCGCCAGCTCCAGTTTCCTGGCCACGGCGTCCCGGAGCTGGCTGTAGGGGAGCTGGGGCTGAGTGTCCAGGAGCACCGTGAACTTGTAGTGCACCTTGAGCGTGTAGGGCACGGGGACGCCACGCGTGGCTTCCTGGGGGGAGGGGCGCAGGACGCCTGATCCATTAGAAGGGATGTCCACACTGCAGACCACCACAGCTCCGGGGGGGGGAGGCCTGGGAGGAAGTGGCTTCCCGGCGCAGGGCCGGCCCCTGCCCCTGGCCCCCTGACCCCGGGCCTCTGACCCTGGGACCCTGGACGCATTACCTGGGGCTCTTCCTTTTGTCTCTGACCTGAATGGGACAGGCGGGAAAACAGAACAAGACGGCGCATGAACACCTTGGCCGGCCCCAGCCCACACAGGTGCCCCCCCCCCCAGCAGCTTGCCCTTTGACCTCTGGGGGTCCCCTGGAGAAAGGCAGGGTCCTGTGCAGGCCCCGCCTCTGGTGGCCTGGGGACGATGACCGGAGGCCCGGCTGTCCTCACGGCGGCAGGGCACAGGGGGAGCCAGCCTGGGACCCCCGGCAGCAACGCCGGGACCAGTGCGCCCACGCCTGTTCCTGTGTGTGCCTGATACGTTCGTTTCACATGCATGTAACATACAAGGGCCAGGGCAAGTGGCGTCGCCAAGCGGGCTAAGCTGAAGCGTCCCGTGTGAACACCAGCTCGAGTCCCGGCTGCCCTTCTTCCAGGCCAGCTCTCTGCTGGGGCCTGGGAAGGCAGTGGAGGGTGCCCAAGTCCTTGGGCCCTGCGCCCATGGGGGAGACCGGATAGAGTTCAAGCTCTTGGCTTTGGCTTGGCCCAGACCTGGCCATTGAGGGCACTGGAGAGTGAATCAGTGGATGGAAGTTACGTCTGTCCCCCTATGTTGCTTGAACTCTCAAATAAATGAACCTTAGAAACAAGGCTTTCAAGGCCATTGCTGGTCGGCGGCAGCGGAGAAAGTTGACTATGGGATATACACTTCAAAATGTTTGTGGAAAATGTAATTAAAAGACTATTTTGGGGGCCGGCGCTGTAACATAGCGGGTAAAGTGGCTGCCTGCAGTGCCAGCATCCTATATGGGCACTGGTTCGAGTCCTGGCTGCTCCACTTCCCATCCAGCTCTCTGCTGTGGCCTGGGAAAGCAGAAGATGGCCCAAGTGCTTGGGCCTGTGTGGGAGACCAAAAAGAAGCTCCTGGCTCCTGGCTTTGGCCTGGCCCAGCTCTGGCTGTTGCGGCCATCTGGGGAGTGAACCAGCGGATGGAAGACCTCTCTCTCTCTCTCTCTCAACTCTGCCTTTCAAATAAATAAATCTTTTAAAAAAAATACTATTTTGGTGCAAAAACATTGGGAATCCATGCACAGTTTCCCTAACACGTATTTTCAGGGCCTTTTTGCAGACCCCGGCCACTCTACGCCCCGTGAGTAAGAGGGTCGTGTC